TGAAAAGATGCTCAACATCACTCATCATTAAGGAAATACAAATCAAAACCACAATGAGATATGATCTCACACCTGTCAGAATGGTTAAAATTAACAACACAGGAAACAACAGATATTGGTGAGGATGCGGAAAAAGGGGAACCCTCTTATACTGTTGGTGGGAAAGAAAACTGGTGCAGCCACTCTGGAAAACAGTATGGAGATTCCTCAAAAAGTTAAAAATAAAAAAAAGTTTAAAAACAGTACTATCCTACAATCCAGCAATTACACTACTAGGTATTTACCCAAAGGATACAAAAATACTGATTTGAAGGGATACATACACCCCGATGTTTACAGCAGCATTATCAGCAATAGCCAAATTACGGACAGAGCCCAAATGTCCATCCACTGATGAATGGATTAAAAAGTGGTATATACAATGGAATATTACTCAGCCATAAAAAAGAAAGAAATCTTGCCATTTGCAAGGACAGAGATGGAGCTAGGGAGTATTATGGTAAGCAAAATGTCAGTCATAGAAAGACAAATACCATATGATTTCGCTCATATATGGAATTTAAAAAACATAACAGATGGACAAAGGGGAAAAAAAGAGAGACAAAACATAAAACGGACTCTTAACTATAGAGAACACACTAAGGGTTGCTGGAGAGGAGGTGGACAGGGGGATGGGTATTAAGGAGGGCACATGTTGTAATAAGCACTGGGTGTTGTACATAAGTGATGAATCACTAAATCCTACACCTGAAACTAATATTACACTGTATGTTAACTGAACGGAATTTAAATAAAAACTTGGAAGAAAAAGAATATTCTAAAGTTAGATTGTTGTGACTGTTGCCCAACTCTGTGACTATACTACAAACCACTGAACTATATACTTTAAATCTGTGAACTTTACAGTATGTTAATTATATTTCAGTAATAATGTTAAAAAAAAAAAATCGAGTGTGCCCAATCCCAGGTCTAAAAACAAGAGGACTTCCATCCATATTTTTCAACATATACAAACATTAACTAAAATTTGATCATAGACCTAAATGTAAAACTTAAGATTATAAAACTTCTAGAGGCGCTTGGGTGGCTCAGTCAGTGAAGTGTCTGCCTTTGGCTCAGGTCATGATTCGGAGGTCCTGGGATCGAACCCCACATCAGGCTCCCTACTTGCGGAAGGCCTTCTTCTCCCTCTCCTCCCCACTCATGCTGTCTCTCTCTCAAATAAATAAAATCTTAAAAAATATATATTATAAAACTTCTAGAAATAAACACAGGAGAAAATTTTTGTGACCTTGAGTTATGCAAGGATTTCTTTGGTTTGAAACCAAAAGCAGAATTTTTTAAATGATAAATTTTACTTCAAAAAATATAAAACTTCTGCTGTTTGAAAGATACTATAATGAGAATGAAAAGACAAACCAAAGACTTATGCTATAATATTTGTAATTCACACATTTGATAAAGGACTTTGTCCATTCTTTGTAGAGAAATTCTCAAACTCAAGGACAAGAAAACAACCCATTTAAAAAAGACAAAAGATTAAACATGTCATAAAAGTCATACAAATGGCAAATAAGCTCTTGAAAAGATGATCAACATCATTAGCCTTCAAGGAAATGCAAATTAAAACCACACTGACAAACCAGTACATACCTATTAGAATGGCAAAAATTAAAAAAGAAAAAAAACAACACTGACTATATTAAATGCTGGTTGAGAATGTAGAGGAACTAAATCTCTCATACACTGGTGATAGGAATATAAAACAACCACTTTGGGAAACAGTTTTGTACGTTCTTATAATGTTAAGTACACACCTACCATATGTTCCAGTCATTCCACTCCTGGATATCTACCCCAAATTAAAGAATGTATATATCTGAACACTTCTACACTTCTATATAAATGTTCGTAGCTGTCTTATTTGTCCAAGTGGTCCCCTAAAACTGGAAACAATCCAAATGGCTATCAACAGGTCAATGGACCAACAAACTGTCGTATATTCATACAATGAAATACTACTCATCAATAAAACGGAATGACCTATTTATACATGCACCAACATTGATGAGTCTTAAAAACAATTATACTGAGTGAAAAAAGCCAGAAAATAATCATACATATTCTATCATTCCATTTATATACAACTCTAGATAGAAAATGCAAACTAAACTATAATAACAGAAAGCAGATTAGTGGTTATCTGGAAAAGATTGCAAAGGGACAGAAGGAAAGTTTTGGGGGTAATGAATAAGTTCATTATCTTGACTATGTTGATGATTTCATGCTATATGCATGTAAAAACTTACCAAATTGTACACCTTATCTATATGTCAATTATACCTCAAAAAAGCTATTAAAAATAAAAACTTAAAAAATCTTAAAATGAAAAAAACCTAAATGAAAAACTGACTCTAAGTCAGGGAAACAAATTGAAGCTAACTATTAAACTCTTCCCTCACTGCCAGTAGCTGGAGTATTTTCAAAAAGGGAGTTCATAACTGGTCCTTCCATAGTCCCTCTTACAGTAAGCTTGGGTGGGGCACTAGCCCTTCCCTAAAACAAGCTAAAGAGAGATTAGAGTTATGCTAAGTAGAATAGTTTTCATAAGAACTTCCTAACTGATCACCCTTGCCTACTGTACCAAGAAGGTATCTGGAGTATGTTGCAATGTCTTTTCTTTCATGTAAATGAACAGAAATAAAAAATATCCACGTTAGAGGATAAGTTCTGAAGTTAGACCACCTGGATTCACAGCTTGGCTCCACTGGTTATTAAAGGTGTGACCTTGGACAAGTTCCCTAACTTCCCTGTGATTCAGTTTCTTCATCTGTAAAATGTGCATTCAATGTTTATTGAGAATGCCCCCCAAAAAACCTTAAAAATGGTAAAACAGGAAAATGTATATAATACAATCACAACTAGAAAACAAACCTTCCTAATTTTTGTTTTCTCAATAAGAGACTAAGTACAAAAAAGAAAGAATATAAAAATGTTTAAGAATCAAATTTTTTAGGGACGCCTGGGTGGTTCAGTTAAGCATCTGCCTTCAGTTCAGGTCATGATCCCAGGGTCCTGGGATTGTGTCCAACATCCGGCTCCCTGCTCAGCAGGGAGTCTGCTTCTCCCTCTGCTTGTGCGCTCTCTCTCTCTCTGACAAATAAATAAAATCTTTTAAAAAAAAATCTTTTTAATAAAAAAATTCAATTTTTATTCATTTTTTTTAAAGATTTTATTTATTTATTCGACAGAGAGGGGAACACAACTGGGGTGGGGAGAAGCAGGCTTCCCACTGAGCAGGGAGCCTGATGTGGGACTCGATCCCAGGACCCTGGGATCATGACCTGAGCTGAAGGCAGACGATTAACGACTGAGCGACCCAGGCGCCCCAAGAATTCAATTTTTAAAACATCATGTCAGAGGTGCCTGAGTGTCTCAGTCGGTTGGTCGCCTGCCTTCAGCTCAGGTCATGATCCCAGGGTCCTGGGATGGAGCCGCATTGGGCTCCCTTCCCTGCCCAGTGGGGAGCCAGCTTCTCCCTCTCCTTCTACTCCTCCCCCCTGCTCACTCTCTCTCTTTCAAATAAATAATGAATAAAATCTTTAAAAAAATACACTAAAATATCATGTCAAGCACAGACATGTAATCAGAGGAGAACAGCATGTAGTTTCCAAATTACACTGTAATTCAACTGATTCTCTCTAAATAAATTATATTTATTCACTTGAGGAAAGAGGTCAGAGTGGAATCTGTAGGCCAGATTATGATGACACAGGTAAAAAGAGCTAACCAAGCACAACTCAAGATATAAAGTATCAAATCAACACACTATACAACAAAGTTACACAACATTATGTGTCAATCATATCGCAATAAGAATAAATTTTTAAAAATAAAAAAAGGGAAAAAAGCATAACTATATTGTGATCTGCTAACAACACCATGACCTCTCAACAGTCAATCATCTTGATGTTAGGCCTAAAATGTTTTCTATAAAGGTAATATTTTAATTATTCGTTTTCATTATATATTTACAATATTGCTTTAATTGTTAATTTTATAGTACTGCAACTATTATGTGAAACATAAGCCAATTCCTACAAATTTCAGACAAAGTTTGTCCCATGACATATCATATGTTACTAAGATTTCCAATTTGACATTTTATTTTTTTTAAAGATCTTATTTATTTATTTGACAGAGACACAGGGAGAGAGGGAACACAAGCAGGGGGAGTCGGAAAGGGGGAAGCAGGCTTCCCACCAAGCAGGGAGCCCAATGCGGGGCTTGATCCCAGGACTCTGAGATCACAACCTGAGCCGAAGGCAGACGCTTAACGACTGAGCCACCCAGGCGTCCCCCAATTTGACGTTTTAAATAAAGTTTAAAATGCAGTTAACAAGGGCACTTAGATGGCTCAGTTGGTTAAGCATCTACCTTCGGCTCAGGTCATGATCCCAGGGTCCTGGGATTGAGCCCTGCATTGGGTTCCCTACTCAGCAGAGAGCCTGCTTCTCCCTCTCCCTCTGCCCCTCCGCCCTGCTTGTGCTCTCTTCCTCGCTCTATCTCAAGTAAATAAAATCTTTTTAAAAAATTTAAAAAATAAAACGCAGTTAACACTGAATGCCAATCTTCTAATCAGAGTCTACCCACTGATTTACAAAGGAGTCCAAATGTCTTTCAGCAGGAAAAATGAAAGTAGCAATTGCATCACGATCAAGTTTTAATATGGCCACTATGTCATATTTATTCAATGATATGTATGATTACAGAATTTTTCCATATATGTAGCTGTTTTATAAATGACTTTAAAAGCAGCTTAAACACATTCATTAGATAGCTGCTACGGTTAAAGCTGGAACTCAGTAAAATGTACCAAGGGAAGGTATTCATTTTCATGTTCAGAAAGCATTATTCATCCGATTGTGAAGAGGAAGTCCAATATGCACACAATAAATTAATATTTAAATGATCATTTTGTTTAAAAAAATAACAGTTACCTGTGATACACCCAACTTTTTACAAGCATCAAGAAAATTTTCTACATTTCTTCGACATTTTGCCATGCTCAGTTTAGGCTGTAAAGTAAGAGGAAATAGGCATTTTTCAGGCATATTTATACAGAAATATATCAATATAAAAATTAAATTTATAGAGGTATATTATTTAAAGACAGTTTCAAGAAGCCCTATCTTCCTTTGGAGAACTGACAAACTCTAGACAAAACTTACCACTGCTGGTGATGGCACGTGAATACTAGCTACAGAGCGGGGCCTTATGTGATTGGCTAAATGGCAAAGAACAACCCCATCCATCAGTGCAGCTCCAATGTCATCAGGCAAAATTACTTTTAACCTGGACTCGAGATTCTATAAAGAAATGGGTATAAATCACAGATATTCTATGTAAATATATATGCTACATATTTATATTACTAATCGTTATATAATCCAAAATTTTAAAAAGCTTTGCAAATAAAATTCAGATATCTTGCTAATTTTCCAAGTTAAACCCATTTCTACAAAGCAAATCTGTAAGGTCAAACTCACTTACATTGCGAAGTTGTCGTATTTGCTCTCGTTCTTCCCGTAAATGTTCCATCTTTCTTCTCATTGTAAATCCTGGATCTGCAGCCCCATATTCCTGGCGAGATGAGCGGCTAAAAGCTATAAAAACAGAAATTTCCTAGCTTATCACAAGGCTAATAGGAAGACTCATCCAGCGGTGGGAAAAGAGGCATGATAAAAAAAGAATCAGTGCAAAACTACATAAAACACTATTACTTATTAAAACATTCTAAATATTTTTATAGAACATAACTGAAATCTACTTATCTGCACAATTGAAAGCAACAGGGAAGACAAGTGTAACGATTTCTACCACCTACACATGTTCTTATTTAAACATATGCTATTAGAAACTTATGATCCAGGTTAAAAATTATTGAACATAAATCAGCCTTTATTATCTTTAAAGAAAAAGGAAATTATTCTTGAAGGTCAATACAGTTATTCAGGAATAAAAACTATAATTCAATACCTTGCCAAGTAACATGGATCCATTTTCTTTTGGGCTTGCCAAATGCGAAAAGATCCCTTTTTAAAACCACAATATAATGGAGTGCTATAATTTCAAACAGTGTTTGGTCTGCTGGCAGAGTGGTCATTCTAATAGCAGTCACAGTAGAGTAGAAATAAGACTGCAGTATATCTAAGGCAAAAAGCTGAGGTTTCAGGAGCTTGAAGGTAAAGAGGAAGAAAGAAATGGGGAATGGGAATTGGAAAGACAAATAAGGTTAAGAGAAAATTACTTTTAGGAGAGGGGAAAGAATCTATGTGTACTTAAAACTATGGAATCAATCCCACTTAAGCTGGAAAACTCTAGTTTCATATATAACCAAAAAATTTTATTTGCAGAATATATACTTACCTGATCTAGGCTTCAAGCCAAAAGGACCATGTGAAAAACCATCGGTTCTATCATATTCCTAAAAAAAACGAAAACAAATAAAACCATTTTTCTTTCAAAATAACCAAGGTAGTTATTCATATCCATTCCAATTTTAGAAGTATTTGTTTCCATGATTAGTGGAGTACAGAAAGGCAAACGGCATTTCAATTCAAATTGATACATTCCACTTTTAAAAAGTCCACCAAAAAAAGTCTATAAATATTTGCTAATTGATCTGACTACATAAGCTTTTAAATACTTCTCTCTCCTAGTACAAGGAAAAATAAAAATTACTTAATTATATAAAGTAAATAGGTACTGGGGGCACCTGGGTGGCTCAGTCGGTTAGGTGTCTGCCGTCAGCTCAGACCATGATCCCAGGGTCCTGGGATGGAGCCCCACATATGGCTCCCTGCTCAGCAGGGGAGCCTGCTTCTCGCTCTGTTCCTCCCCCCTGCTTGTGCGCTCTCTCAATCTCTCTCACTCTCTTTCGCTCTTTCTCACAAATAAATAAAATCTTTAAAAAATAAATAAATAGGTATTATTTTTTTGAATGAACAACCAGATCAAAGCCTCTACAAAGTGAAATAAGCTTTAGTGAAAAAATTAGCAACATTCACTCAGTATCTACTATGGACTTCACATTTAGTAGATGATATGAGGCAAACCTGCACATTCATACTAATAGGGGGTGACAGGTGATACTAACAGATGATTAATTATCATCTCTTCTATTTGAATACATTGTTTCGAAGTGCTTTCACACAGTGCTGTGCTGTGGAAAGAAACAGTATATTTTAGGGGAGCCTGAGTGGCTCAGGTTATGATCTCAGGGTCCTGGGATCGAGCCCCACATCGGGCTCCCTGCTCCACAGGAAGCCTGCTTCTCCCTCTCTCACTCTCCCTGCTTGTGTTCCCTCTCTCGCTGTGTCTCTGTCAAATAAATAAATAAAATCTTTAAAAAAGAAAGAAATAGTATATTTTAAAAATCTGAGCTTGGAGTTAGAAAGCTTAGGCTAACTTTTGAGCAAAACATTTAATTTCTCAGGGCACCTGGGTGGCTCAGTCAGTTAGGCATCTGCCTTCAGCTCAGGTCATGATCAAGGTCTTGGGATCAAGCCCCACGTTGGGCTCCCTGAACAGTGCGGATCCTGCTTCTCCCTCTCCCTCTGCCCCCCTGCTTGTGCTCTACCTCAAATAAATAAATAAAATTAAAAAAAAACATTTAATTTCTCTGTGACTATTTCTTCATATTTAAGATGGGGTGTTTGTTGTGAAGATTGAGATAACTAAAAGAAAGCACTTTGAAAATTTTTTTTTAAAGATTTTTATTTATTTATTTGACAGAGAGAGACACAGCGAGAGCGGGAACACAAGCAGGGGGAGTGGGAGAGGGAGAAGCAGGCTTCCCGCCGAGCAGGGAGCCCGATGCGGGGCTCGGTCCCAGGACCCTGGGATCATGACCTGAGCTGAAGGCAGACACTTAACGACTGAGCCACCCAGGCGCCCCAGCACTTTGGAAATTGTACAGTGATAAGAAAACATAATTTTAGCTGTATCTTTTTTTAATATTTGCAATAACTGTGAAGCAGCTAGAGTCTGGGCTTCAGTCACTTGTCTACCATTTATTGACTGGGGTCTTTGGGAAAGGTTACCAATCTCTTTAGCTATAGAATCATGAGGATAATACCCAGCTCATGGGACTACTTTAGGTTCAAGTGTATAGGCAAGCACTTTGTTAACAGTATAGTACTAGGAGTGCATGGGTGGCTCAGTCAGTTAAGTGTCTGTCTCTTGATTTCAGCTCAGGTCTTGATCTCAGGGTCATGCGTTCAGGACCTGCAGTGAGTTCTATGCTGGGCATGGAGCAGACTTAAAAAACAAACAGTATAGTACTACACTAGGGGTACCTGGCTGGCTCAGTCGGTGGAGCATGTGACTCGATCTCAGGGTCTTGAGTTCAAGCCCCACGTTGTGCATGGAGCCTACTTGAAATTTTTTTTTTAATTTTAATAAAAAAACAGTATAGTACTATACTAATTGTTTTTACCATTTTCTTTCACAGATGAAATAGAAGTAATGAGAATTTTGTTGATTCTCTAAATCTTCTGTTGATTAACATGTTTTATGCAGTTCAAGTTGAATATTAGTTGAGCCACCAAAACCCATGCTCATCACCCTATTCATCCACAAGCTCACAGTTTGTCTTCATTATTTTGGTTAAAGTGTTATGAATTCCCCAAAATTTCACTTATCCAAATGTAAGCAAAATGTATTATAAAAGCAATATAGGGGCGCCTGGGTGGCTCAGTCGGTTAAACATCTGCCTTCAGCTCAGGTCATGATCCCAGGGTCCTGGGATCGAGTCCCACATCAGGCTCCCTGCTCAGCAGGGAGTCTGCTTCTCCCTCTCCTGCTCCGCCAGCTTGTGCTCTCTCTATCTCTCTCTCTGTGACAAACAAATAATAATAAAATCTTAACAAAAAAGCAATATAATTTAATTGAGATAACCGGCACTAATACTCTCTCCATGAGCACAGATCATAAAATCATAAGGCAACTAGGGAATTAGTCACTGATATGCTTACACTTATTATAATTGAAAGTAAAAGAAAGGATTAACAAGAGCATGTGATAAAGACTAATTTTAAGATATCCTAATTTAAATTACTTTCTAAAAGGATGCAAACCATTTTACTTGCCATATAAATCATTTAGAAACATGTTTATAAAGCTAATATCCAAATTCATTTAAAAGTTTTATAATGCAACTCACCCAAAACAAAAGACAAATGATCCTGGCTTTTAAAAAAAAATTAACACCACCTATGTAAAATGAAATACTATCTATGTAATTAACCAAAGTTATATGATGAATATGGATGATCCAAACATTTAGACAAGTTTCTGAATTCACCAAGTGAATACATAATCATTTATTTACTAATGCCAACACACTTTTAGAATACTAAATAAGGTAAACTGAAGTAGAACAAGATACTGTTTCAAATTTTTTAAATTTATCTCTTTTTGTAAAGCAACGGGTCTAACAAATTAGAAGACTCAATCATTCAAGCCACCAGAATATCTGGGTGAGATCTCACAAATGCTAACTTTCATCCACCCTTTCTCCCCATGCTCCCTCTTAGGTCTAAGATACCAGGAAATGTGTACCCTCCTGTCGATAGGAACAACCCACCACAGGGAAGTTTCTCGTGGAAAAAGGAAGTTTCTCTTGCATTGCTTTCAGACCTAATTGGTTACGAGAAAAACCAAAGGCCATTGCACAATGCTGAAGTACTTCTTTCAAATTTAAAATTGCAAAGCTATTCTTATCATTTATTTCAAAATATAGATGAATTATAAAACATAAGAATTTTATAAAATGAAGTCTTGTCTATGCTCTATAGGCATTTTCCAATAAGTAATCCAGGTGATATTGTTATTATGAATATTTGTACAAAAGATGGTGTTCTTAGAATTTTTTATAGGCTAGGTTTGTACAAATTAACTTACTGTGGATTTTTTAAAGTGGGTGAATAAATTATATTGTTTGAAAGAAAAAGAATGATGAGACTAGAGAGAAGAGACAAGGAAGAAACCTATGTAAACACATATAAAAACAGAACTGGTACCTCAGATGATACTGGAGATTGTGGTGACATATTAGCATTATCAATGTCTTGCTAAAATAAAAAAATAAAAAGATGAAAGATGAAATTAAATACAAATGATGATTTAGACATATAAAAAAAACTGAAAATTATTTTGATCAAGTGCTAAAGGAAGAATCTAGAAAATACCATCAACCACCTTGCCACTCAAAGTGTGGTCTGTGAACTAACAGCATGAACCTCCCCCTTGGAGCTTGTGAGAAATGCAGAATCTCAGGCCATCCTAGATCTGCTGAACCAGACTCTATATTTCAATAGGATCCCCAGGTGATTGAGTCATAAGCACTGTAAGGTATCAGAAGCACTATCTATTCACATCAAATATTTCTATAAATCTGTTTCCTTTAAATAACAAAAATGAAAAAAATCTTTCCATATTTCTTAGAAGAGATCCATATTTAGGATTAATTACTGATGGGAAATGCCAACAAGATGCTACAATCTGAGAGAGGTACATTGAGGCATACAAAATTTCCATCACCCCAAGTAAGAACGTTTTATGTGGAAAATTATGTGTATCTAATATAGGCTTAAAAGTAATTACAAAGAACTTAACTGCATAAAATAATATTAAATGGTCCATGTTTTTTGAATGACTACTACCAACAAATACAAAAAACTTCACATTTAACCCTGAATATGCATACCACATAGGACATTTATTCATCATTCAAGAAAAGATCATGGGCTGCCTACTGTATGTCAGACACAGTGCTAGACAGTGGGAATATTAAAATTTAGTAAAATACCATCCACTCAAGGATCTCTCAGTCTATGGGGAAAAGAGATTCATTTGTACCGGTAATACAACCTTCTCATGGCATATTATGAGGCACAGGTAAGGGGCACTTGGGGTGGTGGAGAAAGGCATGGCATATTATGAGGCACGGGTAAGGGGCACTTGGGGTGGTGGAGAAAGGCAAATTTCCTGAGAAAGTAAAAAACTGAGTGTTTACCAGAAAGAGAAGGAAGGGAACAACATTCCAAGATGTCCGAAAGGACAAGGACAAAGGCAAAGAAGCAAAAGTGAAAGAAAACCTTTGAGCAGTCCATATTGCTGGAGAGTACAGTGAAAGAAAGAGAAAGCAGGACAGATCATGAGCTGAGGCTGATGTGCTAAGCAGAGGCCTGATCAGGAAGGACCGAGAATTTACCTTCTAAGTGACAGGGACACAGTGAAGCTTTCTAAGCAAGGGGATGACCTGAGCCCATTTTTGTGTTCTTTGGAGCAATCATTGTGGCTGCAGGGAGGAAAATGGACTGGAAAAAGGGAAAAGAGCAAGGATGCTATTGTGGTGGTACAGGCAAAAAATGCTAAGGGCTTGTGCCAGGGCAGAAAAAACAGAAATGCAGGTGGGGAATGTATTCAAAATATTTCAGTGTCAGAAAGAAAAAGTAGGTCTTTGGTGACTGATTAGACATTAAGGCAGGCTGGACCAAAGTGGATATAAAATACAAAGGGACAGGAACAACAGCCAAGCTGCACCTCTAGCTCAGGGTTCAGCAAACATTTTCTGTATGATTCCATTTCCTAAAATTAAAGTCAAGTACTCAACATCAAATTAACTACCAATCCCTCCAATCAAAAATACACAAAGCTTAAGTATTTATGGTGATGACACAGTATCATTTAAAAATGCTAAGCTGATGCATAATTTAAAATGGCGAGATAGAAAAATTTATAATGTGCAAACTAGCAATTTTTAATTTTAAATGTTAAAACAGTACACAAAATTAGTAGAAAAAGATTAATAAATTCTAAAAGAATCTCAACTGACCGACCACGAGGTTGATTCAGGAAGACAGAAGATGAGAAAATGTAAAAGACAAATGTTAATAAAATTCTAAAACTGAACTATTAGAAATTCTGTTCAAAATAAAGGATATATGGAAATTACATTATTAAATTAATAATTGTATGATGATACTCAGTTTTTATTACTGGAAAAAACCCATGCATTAAATCACTAACCAAGGAACTGACAGAGGTATTACATTTTACTTTGAGCCAACTACATATGAAAAGTAAACATTTTAAATAATTGCTACTATTACCCTCTTTTCTCACCTCATCGTTTTCATTGCCACTTGAACTCTTCCTTGATGATTTATACTGAAAAATATTTAAAACATACACTTTATTTTTCTTTGTACATATGAGTTCTCTACCAGTAAATTATGTGAGGTTTATTCATATTTTGGTACCTTTATTAAATTATCTGATACTAACTTTAATTATATAACCAGTTTAAACGGTCCTACCACTTACTAATAGCTAACACATACAGTGATTTCATGTGCAAGGCATCATTCTATATACCTATTAACATTTCCTTCCTGAGCCAATCCACTTCCCATTCATTCAGGTTTTCTATCTGAAAGTTGTCTTAAGCTCTCCGTTTTCCTTAATCCACTATATCCAAAACATCATCGTCAATTCTTTCTGTATAGTCTCTCAGACTTACTTCTGAATTCTTACAACCACCAACTTATCCTAGGCGCCCCATTACCTCACACCTAGTTGGTAATCTCACCATTCAAAAATGCCATCTATTGTTAAGAAACCTAGTGATTTCAGGTAAGAAAAACCATTATGTTAGGTATATATATTGACTATACAATAACAGTAATAGTGATAATAGCTACTATTTATATAAGTGTTTACTAGATACCAGGCACTGACGAATGTGTGTTACATGTATCAACCCATTTAATCGTCCTAACAATGCTAAAGTAAATACTATTATCTGTATTTTATGCTGAGGCACAAGGTCATATGCTTAAAATAAAAAATGCTAGTATGTGGAAAAGTGCTTGTTTTTAGAATCAAGAATTAAAGAAATACAGTGTGACAACCATCAGAGTTCTTATTTTAAAGTCCTCTAGGGTTCTTATTTCTAAATCCTCCTCACCACAAATAATCCTGCAAATTAGTGGCAGATTTAAACACTCCAAACACTACTTTTAACTCATGACTCCCCTACTGAAACACCTACTTTCAAATTATGTTCAAATTTCTTTACCTGGCATTCAAAGTTCTATTTAATGGCCCCCTTTACTTATGCAGCTTTATATTCCATAACTCTTGGAAAACTAGATAATCTACGTGATAGCTCAACCACAGGTTGGGAGGCAAGCAGTATTAGGGATTACAAAAACCAGATCTAAATTCCTTCATTGTCTCTCCAGTGATTTATGACAACTATCACTAATCTACCAGGGTGCTCTTTCCAGCTGATCCCAGACATTTTCTCAGTATGTTTGCAACCCAGTGTTCCAGAAAGCCACTGAATGGAGTTGGCCTGTGTGAAAAAACCTACTTGCCACCCCTAGGCATGATGCTTGCTGACAGTATGTGTTCTTGGTTCTACTCTACTTCAACAAAAGAGTGACATTTGCACAGCAGACCCTAAGACCTGAAGATGGCATCAGTCATTAACAGTAAAGGAGAAAAACTCATGGACGTCAAAACAGAGGAGCTGCCAAGTTGAATACTGTTGCAGGATCTCACCCCTAAAGGCACGGTTGGAGTGTTTCAAAGAGGTTACTACCAGTATTACAAGTATGTCAATGTGAAGAAAGGAAACATCATTGGGGTTTCTATGTTGCTGGCATCTTACATGCTTTTCAAGTATTCCCTTTCATTCAAGGAACTCAAACATAAACAGCTACACATGTATCAGTGTGGAGGGCGCAGTCTGCATTCCTGACCGTGACCTTCTTTGTCAGGCATCCCTGATATTTGCTGAATACTTTCCTATTTTAACTGAGAATTAATACCTGATAAAAGATGACTGGTACAAAAACAAAAACCAAAACAAAAGAATGACATTGGAGTGAATAATAAGCTAATATTTATTAAATGTATCCTTTGTGGCAAGTGCTATTCTCATAACCACTTCACATTATCACGTAATTCAGTAGTTATAAGAATCCTGTAAAAGAAGATACTGTTAGAGTCATTTGAGGATAGAAAAAAAATTAAGCTCAGCAAGGTTACATGATTTGTCAAAGTCACACAGTCAATATCCAAGTTAAAAACTGGAACCAAAGTGGTTTGATCCTAGAAGCCAAGGCTCTTGACCACTATGCTATACTACCATCTCTAAATCCTGAATGATTAGTATAAGTTTGCCAGGAATAAAAAGGGCTAGTGGGCATTCTCAGAAGAAGGAAGGCACAAAGGAATAAAAAAGCTCAGCCTATGCAGAAAACAAAGAGTAGCAGTAAGGCAGGGTGCCTGGGTGGTACAGTCAGTTAAGCGTCAAACTCCTGGTTTCAGCTAGGGTCATAATCTCAAGGTTGTGAGATCGAGGCCCCCGTCGGGCTCCACACTCAGCGGGAAGTCTGCTTGAGATTTCTCTCTCCCTCTCCCTCTGCCCCTCCCCACCCATGCTCTCTCTCTATCTCTCTAAAAATAAATAAATAAATCTAAAAAGTAATAGCCATATGGCTAGAGAGGAGAGTGAATTGTGGCAGGTAATAAAACTTCAAGAAGTAGGTGAGCATGGCGTCTTAAGTTTTTTAAAAGCCCAAACTTGGTGTTACTGATAATAGCCAAGAAACAAATTTAAGCCAGGGATTTCTCTAAGGACTATGAAACTACAGAAAGGGGGGCAAATTAACAAGTTATTACAATCGCCTAGACAAGAAAGAATGAGGGTTCCAACAAAAGCAAGGGCAGTAGAGATGGAGAAGAAATGATGAATTGGAGAAAGGACATATAATTAACATCCTGGTGATCAATCAGGTGAGAGGAATGAGAGAGGGAAAGATCCAGGAGGACTGAGGTATAGAGCACAGACCACCAGACACACACTGCTACTATTAACTCAAATAAAGAATAGAGAGGAGGGAGCCTGGGTGGCTCAGTTGGTTAAGCGACTGCTTTCGGCCCAGGTCATGATCCTGGAGTCCCGGGATCGAGTCCCACATCAGGCTCCCTGCTCGGCGGGGAGTCTGCTTCTCCCTCTGACCCTCTTCCCTCTCGTGCTATCTCTCATTCTCTTTCTCTCAAATAAATAAATAAAATCTTTAAAAAAAAAAAAAAAGAATAGAGAGGAAGAGCAAGTTCCATGGGGCAGAAGGGCAGGAGGGCTCAGAGACATATCAAACTTGAAATACATGCAGGGCACCCAGACAATTAGAAACACAAGTCTGAAGACCAGGAAAAAAGCTATAGGATGTAAATTTAGACCCGCCAGAATATGAGACATCATAAAAGTCACAGTCATAAAGTCAAAGTCATAAAAGTTTCAGAGAGAGTTTTTAGGGTAATGAAAAGAGGATGAGCCCCTAAGAGCAAGCAGAAGCAAAGTCAGAAGAGAAGTGAAAGAACATCCAAAAGAAAACAGAAGAACCAAGGAAGAAAAATGAGATAGAAACCAAGAAAGGAGTTTCATGAAGACCAATGTGGTGGCCACCGCTGTCAAATTCTTAGGTACATGTTCTCTAGGTAAGGAGCTATTTCAATGGAGAAATGAAAGCGGAAGCCAGACTATTAAGGAGTGATCAGAAACTGGACATATAGAAATGGTAAGTCTGGCCCTAAAAGAAAAGAGACAAGGCAACAGCTGCAAGGGGACTTGGGGAAAAGTGCAGAGGTCTGAGCCCATGTATCAGAGGGCAAGTAAAGAAATGGAAACGATGTAGAAGAGTGAGTGAATAACTGATAAAGGAAAGAAAGAGTGTAATGAGGTCAAGAACACAGGTAATGAGACTTGTATTACTATTACTCAACTACACTTCTAATTAAAAATATTCATTACATATGAAAACCTAGAAAGGTACTCCTCAGTTTGCATTACTGCACAGATTTAAAGGTCCTAACACCCAAAACCTAATATATGCATAGGTTTGAGAATGTTCTGTAAGTCCAACTTTTACTGAATCAATTCAGCTTTCCTCAATTAGTATTAGTCTGAATAACTGAAGTTTATTATATCAAATTCAAATAATATAGTAAAGACCCATTTACAAACCAGAGAAACAAAAAAGGTGTTGAGAACTGAGAACAAAACAAATCAGGTTATTTCACAAACCCAGTTGGTTTCCCTATTCCAGTACAAAATTAAGCATGATCAGAGAAAATACATAAAAATATTTTCCTTGGCATTAGCCTTTAAATGAGGATATACTGTATTTATGAAATCAGATATGTATTTTAAGGGTCATTATAATGTTTTATCATAACACTAATAAGATACATTCGAAGACATATGGCATTTCAATAAATCAAATAATCCTTAAAACTAATATTGTATAGTTATTCTAACGCTTTTTAACTTTCTTGTTTAGAAATCAATCAATCAAGTGCATTTAGAAAGCCATGTATTATTATTTTTAGAAGAAATTAAAGCTACTCATTTATATTAAACATAATTTATCAAAAAATTAGATGTTCATATTTTGTTGTGTATCTTATTAAAAGCATTAATACCTTTCTGTAAAATGTAAAATACATTTGCCTTTCTGTAAAAGATTTTTAATAAAGTAATGTATTTCCTGAAATACCTTTGCTTTGAAAAATGCAGTGACTTTATTTTGGCAATGAGGACATTGTTTTATTTAGTAGAGTAGTAATCTATACAAGAGTGGTCTGGGAGTCTAGAAGAGTTGGTGTAACTCTCCTACAGTGATTTACTTACTCATATAATCTGACCCAATTTATCTTCTTGCTCACATAATCTGGCTAATATGTCAATACCTTTTTTACTTAGTTTCAGAGGCTTATCTGAAAAACACTACTATCCAAAATCAGTCTTGGCAACTGAGAAATAATAAATGAAGAGATCCACATACACAGACATACACACACTTTCAACAAATATACAGAATAACAACAATGCCATTAATAATTTACCATGGAACACAAAGAAATCTTGTGGCTCAGTCATTTACAGGTGTTAGGATAAAGTTGCACAAAAGCTCCGTATGTTTCTTAACACCACAAAGCTAACAGGGCTAGTAGTATAGTAGTATAGTAGTATATAGTTCGCATGTATTTGCAATTAGCATTTAACTGTTTCTGTCTAAATAAATGCTATTTACATGGCTCTAAAAATGCTTAAAAGTGTTTCTCCCCCATTTTTTCTTCTTGCATCCTTAGATTTCTTAAGATGATCTTTTATCTTAGTTAAAAACTTAGACTATTTGAATTATCTCAAATTTCTGGTTTAACAGGTTTTTAATGAAATTTCACTGTGTATACCTTTGTAAATATTGTAATATTATTCATTTGTGTTTAAAGTCTGCTATGTTTGTAGATACCAGTGGGATTAGCATAATCTTGAGTACTAGTCAGAATCCATTATTGGAATTCCTGACTCAGATGAACAGTGCAGACAAGCTTCCTACCCCATGAATACCAAATTCTGTTGTTTTTGTGCACCTTTCTGTTTCCCAAAGCCTAATTTTTATCTAATAATAATAATTTTATGTAAATACATGGTTCTGTGCTAAATTATAGGTAGTTTGAAGTTTATATCACTAACGGATAAGATTATATTTCATGGTTTTCTCTGTTTGAGTGAAGTGGTTATCTGTACACATTGATCTGTTTCCTTATATGGGAATATAACATATTTGGAAGTAGTATCATACGACCAAAACAAGAATGTTATGTGTCATAGCAAGTCTGTGATAAGTTTCATCCTTCTACAAGTAATTACTGAATCCTTTTATTGAGCTTCATGTTACCTGGTCAATATGAGAGAGAATGAAGAAATAAAAGACAGGGAAAAATAACAAGGACATTCTAAGCAGAACCCTGGTCAGTAATGGTGAATGTCTGTTTATCCCAAGTCTTTACAGATCTGCAGTTATATTTACATACTGACATTTATTTCAGAATCTCCTCTTTCAGTTTATAGGACCTTGAACAAAGGCACTCAGTAAAATTTGTTAGTAGATAAAACCTGATGAATGAGTGATGATGTGGGGGAAATTTTAGTTTTTCTGACTAACGGAAGAGATTTTGATATTTATTTGATCTACTAGTAAAGTAAAAGCATCTAAATTCTGACAGTTTATCAAAACACTTGCATAGCACTTACTAAGTGCCAGGTACTGTTCTAAGTACAAATATCAACTCGTTTAATATTCATAACAACCCTATGAAGTAGGTACAATTATCATTCCTATTTTACAGGTGGGGAAATTAAGGCACAGAGAGGCTAAGTAATATGCTTCATGTCACTTAGCTAATAAGAAGCTGAGCCAAGATTTGAACCCAGAGCCTATGCTAAACTGCCTGTTTATCTACTGTGGATAGCTTAATATCAAATGAAAACTTTCAAATCAATAGTTGTATTGTTTATAAAAATACTTTACAGTAACCCAAGTGAACTTCTCAATAAAGTCTTAATAGAAGCCTCAGTGAGCCTTTAAAAAAATAGTTCTTTGATTTAGTAGCGTCATTTGTTAAATATTTTATTTTTTAAGGCTTAAACATACGTCCTATAATATTTCTGTTTTATAAGCCGCTAAGAGATCAATTGAGGTAGTCTTTGAAATGTCCATTACGTTATTATCATTCAACATTGTTAATTTCTTCCATGCTTTTAATAAAGTGGGTGCAAAATTAAGCTTTAGTCATTGGGAAATAGTTTAAGGAGATATGTAGTTCTCTTCAATAGTCAGAAGATGTCAGTGTTAGGACACTGAAAAGAATTGGATGTCAACAGTTTTTTTCCTAAGATGTAAAAAAAAGATATAAACCTGAGATACTACTTCTAAGTTAAAACCATTACTCAGAATCGCCAGTATTTTCTTGCTTAAGACGTCATTGATACCTGTGAAGTGTCTTTATTTCAAAAATAAAATTTCTCTTACTTAATCACCCATCTCCCAAGAATCAAAAGCGTTATTCATAGGATATATTACTGAACTTACTCTGGATTTATAGTTGATTAAATATGGAAAAATATACTACTTGAGAGATTTATATCCAAATATCACCAAGCTCACTCAGTAATAGCCCCGTTAGCTTTGTGGTGTTAAGAAACATACGGAGCTTTTGTGCAACTTTATCCTAACACATGTAAATGACTGAGCCACAAGATTTCTTTGTGTTCCATGGTAAATTATTAATGGCATTGTTGTTATTCTGTATATTTATTGAAAGTGTTTGTGTGTATGTCTGTGTATGTGGATCTCTTCATTTATTATTTCTCAGTTGCCAAGACTGATTTTGGATAGTAGTGTTTTTCAGATAAGCCTCTGAAACTAAGTAAAAAAGGTACTGACATATTAGCCAGATTATGTGAGCAAGAAGATAAATACTATACTATATACTACTGAAAGACCTTTTCTAGGCAATTCTTTTAAAACATAACTACATATTGCTACAACTAGCAGTATAGCAAACATTCATCTTTCATGTCAAGTATCTGGTAAATCACAATTCACATTGATCTACAATCTCATTCTTAATTATCCTAAATTACTGAAATTTTATATATTTAACTAGATCATATTATCTATCCCCATGCATGTGGGAAACCAAGATAAAATAACACGTTTACTATACGTGACTAGTTATAGTCTATGTAATTAACACAAAACTTATAAAATCAAAACTAATAATTACAAAGTAAAATTTGCAATTTAATAAAGTACCTTGAAATATTCTTTTCTAATCTGTTTGCTCCGCCTCCTTTCTTCACTCTGCCAGATTATAGGTTGAGATTCTGGCCACTGCTGTTCATCTATTTGATCCTTCTGATTTTCTAAGGGCTGTAATGAGACAATTTCTTTTAACTAAATAAATGAGAACAAAATATTAGATATAACAGAAATTCATTTTCCTCTTACCTGCCATGTGAGGGGTGATAACGGTGAATTAACTTCATCTGCTGAGACACTACAAAATTAAAGATGCCTTAATATGTTAAAAAATTTAGAATTACCCTTAGGAATTTATTATGAACAATATAAAGTTGTCTCTTTTTTTTTTAACCAGAAATCTAAAGAATTTACCCATGTCTATGGTTTGAACTAATAACATAAAACTTAAAGTGGACAAAAACATATTTAAGTTCCCAATCACTTCTATTCCTTTAAAAAAAACATCAAAATGAGTTTATTTAATATCATCCTATGCAAAGGACTACTTTAAGGACTTTTCAGAGGCCAAAAGAAATGTAATACCTAGACATACAGTGAAAAAACAGAATGTTTATTACATTAAATCATTACAAAAAACAAACAAAAAACTAATAATTTTATACAAATTTATTTTGTTTAAATGCCAAAGAAATTAGGGGAGTAATTCTTTGACTATTGAATTACAAATTATGAACCTCTAACCCTTCATTCTGACACACAGGGGCTACGGCAGAAATTCTTTTCATCTAATTTTGTCAGGAAAGTAGACCGCACATGTTGTCATTAGGTAAGAAGTTCCTTTAGAAAAAATACACAGACAAAATGCCCACTACAGCGGTCATTATTCAACACTGCTGTAGAACTTCGCTATTGTGCAGCAAGAAAAGAACATTTAAAAATTAGAGAGAAAGAAAGAAATTTTCAAAATTTATGGAAGACATGATTATCTTAGGGGGATAAATCTATTATTATTAAAAGAAGGTTACCAGTTATAAAAAATATACAAAAGTTAATAGCTTTCTCACGTATCAATTATAATAAGCTATAAAATATATTAGGAAAAAAATTCATTCATAAAAGGAAGGAAAAGCAAAAATACTAGGAACAAACTTAACTTAGACATGCATAAAATCTACATGAAAAAACTACCCATGTTGGGGCACCTGAGTGGCATGATCAGTTAAGCATCCGACACTTGAGTTCAGCTCAGGTCATGATCTTGGGGGTGTGAGATCGAGCCTGCTTGGTATTCTCTCTCTCCCCCTGCCCCCAACCCTGTTCCCCGTTCCCGTTCATGCTCTCTCTTAAAAACAAAAACAAAAACAAAACTACCAATGTCTAGTAAGAAAATTGAATAACTGGAAAATTCTTAGAAAGACTAAATATTATAGGTATAACTTCTTCAAATTAATTGACAGCTGAAGTAAACTATAATAAAAAAACCAGAAAGTATTTTTGGGTTTGTATTAAATATTTGATAAAAGAATTTCAAAGTTAATTTGGAAGAATGAATGATAAAGAAAAGTTACATAATTGCATATATTCTATTAAAGTAATTAAATACTACTAGATCCAGAATTTATAGATTTTCCAGTGGGAGACAAGTACAGGACCACACATATAACAACTTATGATTTAAGAAATGAAATTCACAATAGTCGTAGAAATGATAGGTTATGTAGCAAACAGTGTTGAGACAACTGATTAACCAATTATAAAACAAACACAGAAAGAAAGAAAACCAGAAGGTGAGGAGGACAGGGAGTGAGAAAAAGAAGGAGAGAGGGTGCAAGAGAGGAAGAAAAAAACTAAATACTTTAACTCATATCAAATACCAAAATTAATGACTAAAAGATTTAAGTATTAATAAAGATGAAATTACATAAGTATATGAAAAATATGGGCAGTAATTTTTTTAAATGTTGGGGCAGGGGGGTATATGGAAGAAACAATTAAACTAAATATTGACAAAACACAAAAAAATGTAAGAATTAGACTTTGCATCTGGCCAAGATAGAATAACAATGATCAGATTTATACCCTGACGGAAAACACTAAAAGAACAGATAAAATATATAAAATTCTGCTTTCCAAAACACTGAGTATCAGGCAAGAAAAAAAAAGACATTTTATCCCTTACAGATGGGTAACAAACAAGGGAAACCCCATAACTGCATCAGGTTGCTGCAGGAAAAGAGATTCCAGGCTTCTAGCCCAGAGAGGAAGAACCAAAGTAAGGCCCAGGGGGCTCCCTGAACTGAGGAGACAGAGCTGGGAGCCAGGGTGAAAAAGATGGATGGAATTAACAGGACAAAGTAATAGAGAAAAAAGCAATGCACAGAGAAAGAACTTAAAAGTTCTACAGAAGCATTCTTAAAATTTTAACAGAGTACTGAGCCCTGATCATATGTATGAGAAAACTACACTAGGCAAAAGAATGAACAGCCAGAAAGATTAGACAAAATAATTCTCCGACTCTGAGAGGACTATGAGTAAATAATACCAGTTCCCACCAGCTAGACTGGAAAAGCATATAGTTCATGGGGCATCAGCTATAGTACTAAGAAAAGTCTTGCTCCAGTAGGGGGCCAAATCTGGTCCTAGGCTAAATGCCACACTGATTCCACATAATAAGTCATAAAACCAAATCCCCCAAATATCAAATTGTCGCCAAGTAATTTAACCACATCCTAGAACAAAGTTTAAGAATATTTATAATAATACTGTAAAATCCAGCACCCAAGAAGGTAAAGTTCAGAATGTCTGGCATTCAATCAAAAATTGAATCAGGTAATGTTCAGAAGCTAGAGGAAAAAACTAAACATGTTAAGTACAGACACAAAAGACATAAAATAGATAAAAATCAAAGTTCAAGAGATGAAAAGTACAACATCTGAAATTTAAAAAAAAACTGGATGGGATTAACTGTAGACTGGACATTTAATAGAGGGGAGCCTGGCTGGCTCAGTTGGTATAGCATGAGACTCTTGTTCTCGGGGTTTTAAGTTTGAGCCCCATGTTGGGATGGAGGTTACTTAAAAATAAAATCTTAAAAAAAAATGATTAGTGAACATAAAGACTTAGTAAAAGAACTATCAAAAATCAAACACAGAAGGCGCCTGCGTGGCTCAGTCAGTTAAGTGTCTGCCTTCAGCTCAGGTCACGATCCTGGGGTTCTGCTTCTCTCTCTCCTGCTCCCCCTGCTTGTGTTCTCTCTCTCAAATAAATAAATAAAATCTTTAAAAAATTAAAAAGAAAAATCAAACACAGAAAGAAAAATATTGAAGAGGACTGAACAGAACCTCAGTGATTGGTGGAAACTTCAAGTAGCCTAATATAAATATAATTGGCGTTCCAGAAGAATAGGTCAGGGGACAGAAATTATATCTGAAGATAAAATAAAATTTTCAAATTTCCTGAAAACAATAAACCCACAAATCTGAGAAGCTCAAAGAACTCCAAGCAAAAGAAAAATGAAGAAAACTACACTAAGATACATCATAATCAAATTACTTAAAAACAAATGATAAAAAGAAAATGTAAACAGCAGCCAGAGAAAAACAAAACATTAGGTTCTATGAAACAAACACTGACAACACAATTTTCATAAGAAACAACACAATCCAGAGAACAGTGGAGAAAATTCTTTAAAGTACTGAAAGACGGGTGCCCGGAGGGCTCAGATGGTTAAGCGTCTGCCTTCGGCTCAGGTCATGATCTCCAAGTCCTGGGATAGAGCCCCACGTCGGGCTCCTGGCTCAGTGGGGAGCCTGCTTATCCCACACCCTCTGCCTCTCCCCCTGGCTCATGCTCTCTCTCTCTATCTCTGTGTCTCAAATGAATAAATAAAATCTTTTTTAAAAATGTACAACAGGCACATAATAAATTCCAATGTTGATTTCAAGGAACAGTTTCTTCCACATTAAAAAAAAAGGGGGGGGGCTCCTGGGTGGCTCAGTTGGTTAAGTGACTGCCTTCGGCTCAGGTCATGATCCCAGGGTCCTGGGATCGAGCCCCGCATCGGGCTCCCTGCTAGGCGGGAAGCCTGCTTCTCCCTCTCCCACTCCCCCTGCTTGTGTTGTCTCTCTCTCTGTCTCTCTGTCAATTAAATAAATAAAATCTTCAAAAAAATAAAAAGTACTGAAAGAAAACAAAAATGTCAACCTAGAATTTTCTATCAGCAAAGATAGCTTTCAAAAATGAAGGTAAAACAAAGACTTTCTCATACAGAAGCTGAAAGGATTCAACACCAGCGGACCAGTAATAAAAGTAGTGTTAAAGTTTCTCTTTCAGGTAGAAAGAAAATTATACATGGAAATACAGAGCTACACAAAGGAATACAGAGCTACTAGATAGAGATGGTAACTAAGGGAGGAAAGATAAAAGACATTATTCTGATTATTTAAATCTCTTTAAAGAAATAATTGACTCTTGGGTGCCTGGGTGGCTCAGTTGGTTAAGCGACTGCCTTCAGCTCAGGTCATGATCCTGGAGTCCCGGGATCGAGTCCCACATCGGGCTTCCTGCTCAGCAGGGAGTCTGCTTCTCCCTCTGACCCTCTTCCCTCTCGTGCTCTCTCTCTCTCATTCTCTCTCTCTCAAATAAATAAATAAAATCTTTAAAAAAAAAAAAAAGAAATAATTGACTCTTGGGTGCCTGGGTGGCTCAGCTGGTTAAGCGACTGCCTTCGGCTCAGGTCATGATCCTGGAGTCCCGGGATCGAGTCCCACATCAGGCTCCCTGCTCGGCGGGGAGTCTGCTTCTCCCTCTGACCCTCCCCCCTCTCATGTTCTCTCTCTCTATCTCATTCTCTCAAATAAACAAACAAATAAATCTTTAAAAAAAAAAAGAAATAATTGACTCTTTAAAGCAAAAATAATAACAATGTATTATGGGATTTATAACATATATTTAAGTAAAATGGACAGCAACAATACCACAGAGGCCAAAAGGGAAGAAATAGAAGTATACTGTTGTAAAGTTATGCAATATATGAAATGGCATAATAGCACTTGAAGGTAGACTGCAATAAGTTAAACACTATATTTTTTAAAATTTTATTTATTTATTATTTGTCAGAGAGAGAGAGTGAGCAAGTGCACAAGCAGGAGGGGCGGCCGGCAGAGAGAGAAGCAGGCTCCCCACTGAGCAAGGAGCCGGATGCGGGACTCAATCCCAGGACTCTGGGATCATGACCTGAGCCAAAGGCAGACACTTAACCGACTGAGCCACTCAGGTGTCCCAGTTAAATACTATACTTTAAACCCTAAAATAAGCACTAATGTATGATAACAAAAAATTATAGCTAATAAGCCCATGAAGGAGATAAATAGGAATTTTAAAATAAAATTAAAAAGAGGAAAGATGTCTATAAAGGATAAGACAAAAACATATTAGAAGATGGTAGATTTAAATACATTAATATCAATAATTCCATTAAATATAAACAATATTAACAATGCCATTAAAAGATGGTCAGATTTAATAAAAAAAGGAAGGTGCTACCATATGCTAAATACAAGAAACCCACTTTCTCCACAAAAACACAAACTGGTTAAAAATAAAAGGATGGAGAAAGATGTATGTATCATGTTAACACTAATCAAAGAAAGCTGAGATGACTATACAATATCAGAAAAGTAGACTTCAAAGAATATTACCAGAAATATAAAAAATGTCATTTCAAAATGACAAAGCTATAAATTCACCAAGAGGACACTACAGTCCTAAACATTTATGTATCTCACACAGAGTATATGAATATATGAAGGAAAAATGATAGAACTTCAAAGACAAATCCCCCATTAGTCTTGGAGATTTCAATAGTCTTCTCTTAATAACTGATAAAACCGACATTGTAGTGTGCCAAGGGAGTGGTGTGGTGGTGAAGACAAACAGCAAACAAATAAAAGAAGTATATATTCAGAATGCCAGATGGTAAAAAAGTATAAATTTAGAATGTCAGAGGGTATTCAGTTCTTTGGAGAAAAATAAAACAAGGTATGGGAAGAAGGACAAAGAAGTGGGGGAGGCATGCTCTTTTATTTAAGTTGTCCAGGGAACCCCTTGCTGATGAAGTGAAATTTGAGCAGAAACCTGACACCAAAGGAATAAGCCATATGGTTATCTAGGGGGAAATCATTTCAGGCAGAGGCAAAGCCTTGAGGGAGCAGGAAATGCCTGGTATATTGAGATGCAACAAGGAGGCCTAGTATATAGTATAGCTAGAGAGGAACTAACTAACCAGGAAGACCAGGCAAGAGAGGAAGACAGGAGGGAGCCAAATAATGTAGAGGTTTGTAAGTCCTTAAAGGACTCTAGTTTTTATTCCGAATGAGATGGGAAGTGATTAGAGAATTATGAAGAGTGATATGATCTGACTTACATTTCAACAATCTGATGCTTTTTTGAAAAACAGACTAAAGGAAAGCAAGGGCAGGCAACCTGTTAGGAGGCTTATGTAACTGAAGTTGAGATGGCTAGAGCTGAAAAAAGAGAAAGACCTATCATATGATTTCACTCGTATGTGGAATTTAAGAAACAAAACAGATGAACATAGGGGAAGGGAAGGAAAAATAAAATAGGAAAACAGAGAGGGAGGCAAACCATAAGAAACAGTTAACTAGGGACCAAACTTGAGGATTGGTGGAGGGGCGGTGGGTGGGGGGATGGGCTAGTAGGGTAATGGGTATTAAGGAGGGCACTTGTGATGAGCACTAGGTCTTGTTAAGTGATGAATCAGTAAGTTCTACTCCTCAAACCAACATTACACTACATGTTATGTAACTTGAATTTAAATAAAAACTTGGAAGGAAAAAAAAGTAAAAATAATAAAAATAAATAATAAAAATAAAATTAAAGAATTTTTTAAAAAGACATGGCAAGGGCTAGGGTGGTAGGTGTGAAGGTTGTAAGAGGTGATCAGATTCTGGGTATATTTTGAAGGTAGAGTCCACAAGATTTGCTATTGGATTAGATAAGGTATGTGAAAGAAAGTAACATGTTAATTTAAGGTTGACTCTGAGGTTTATGAGCTGAGCAACTATAAGGATGAGTTGACATTTCCTGAAATGGGAAAAAATACAGGAAAAACAAATTCAAGAGGGGCGCCTGGGTGGCTCAGTCGTTAAGCGTCTGCCTTCTGCTCAGGTCATGATCCCAGGGTCCTGGGATGGAGCCCCACATCGGGCTCTCTGCTCTGCGGGAAGCCTGCTTGCTTCTCCCTCTCCCACTCCCCCTGCTTGTGTTCCTGCTCTCGCTACCTCTCTCTCTGTCAAATAAATAAATTCTTTAAAAAAAAAAAAATTCAAGATGTACAAGGAGGGATTAAGAGTGTGGTTTTGGAAAGTTAAGTTTCATATGCCTATTATATAACCACGTGGCGGTGCTGAGTAGGCAACAGGTTATACAACTCTGTGGTGTATATATATGTAACACATACACGTGCAAATATTCATGCACACAGATAGAAAAAGGGTCTAAAGGGAAAAATACCAAAATACTATGACTTGTCATCTCTGGAGAGTGGGATAATAGGTGATTTTTATTTATTTATTTATTTGCGTTTGCTAAATTTTACAGTTTTTCAACAATAAAGCTACAGTAATCTTATAATCAGGAAAATATTTTTTAATTTTGTTTTTAAAGAAAAAATTGAGCGATTGTTTTGAAAATGAGAAAAGTAGAAGCAATAGTTATGGGGCACCTGGGTGGCGTGGTCATTAAGCGTCTGCCGTCGGCTCAGATCATGATCCCAGGATACTGGGATTGAGCCCAGCATCGGGCTCCCTGCTCATCGGGAAGCCTGCTTCTCCCTCTCCCACTCCCCAGGGCTTGTATTCCCTCTCTCGCTGTCTCTCTCTCTGTCAAATAAATAAATAAAATATTAAATAATAATAATAATAATAATAATAGTTCTATGGAGAGGCCAGGATTAGATACCACACTTTTGAGGTTTGGGCAACTGGGTCTTTCTCAAGAGAATATTAGGAGCCTGGGGAGGAAGCTTAAGATGGGAATGAAAGGAAGTGAGGGGGAAAGGAATAACATAAACTTTAAGGAGAGCAAATATATAAGATAACAGAATCAGTATTCAAAAAGGGTGGGAGTGGGTTAAATCCAATTAATGAAATTTGAGTAGAGGAATGTTTCTAGACTTGAGTATAAAAAGTCATCTTTACACTTGAACTGAATTCTGAAAGCCTAAGTGAAAAAAAAGAAGAAAAGGCAATCCCAGTAGAGAAACCAGGATCTAGAACACAGAGATGCAAAACCATGACAGAATAAAAAAACAAAGTACTGTTCCTAACAGCAAAAGGTGCCAGTGGAAGAGTGCATGCTAAGTTTTAAGGAAGGCAGAAACTCACTTCAATCTTACAGGTTAAGTTAAGCATTTTCAGCTTTATCCTAAAAGTGATAAGGAACCCGTAGAAGATAATAAATGGCAGTCACACAGTTAGATGGTTTTAGAACCATCACTCTTACATCAGTGAAGACAAACTTAAAGGTAGGCAAAAGTGAAGCATAGAGATATGTCTGGGGACTGTTGCAGTAATCCAGGAGGAAAAGGATGGGGCCTGCACCAACATACATGGCTGTGCTAGGAATGGAGAAGTTGGGATAGATGCAAGGAATGCTAGGAAGCTATAATTTTCGGGGCACCCGGGTGGCTCAGTCGGTTAAGCATCTGTCTTTGGCTCAGGTCATGATCTGGGATGGAGCCCCACATCGGGCTCTCTGCTCAGCGGGAAGTCGACTTCTCCCGCTCATTCTCCCTCTGTGCATGCTCTCTCTCTCTCTCTCAAATAAATAAATAAACTCTTTAAAAAATATGGGGCGCCTGGGTGGCTCAGATGGCTGAGCATCTGCCTTCGGCTCGGGTCATGATCCCAGGGTCCTGGGATCGAGCCCCACGTCTGGCTCCTGGCTCAGCGGGGAGCCTGCTTCTCCCTCTGCTTCTTCCCCCTGCTCATGCTCTCGCTCTCTCTCTCTCTCTCTCTGTATCCCTGTGTCTCCAATGAATAAATAAAATCTTTAAAAATAATAATAAATAAAATAAAAAATAATAAAAACAAAAATAAAACAAAAGCTATAATTTTCTGTGATTGACTAGATTGGGAGGGGTGCATAAGAGAGAGAAGTTTCCGATGATTTCAAAGTTGCTGATTTAGGTGACTGAGTAGTGGCACACTCACTCAGGCAAACGATATAGGAGAAGAAATAAATTTGGGAAAAAATAAGTTCAGTTTAGACTGTGAGGTATCCAGGAAAAGATATCAGTGGGATGTGTGAATCTCAAGGAAGCAAAATGTTCTTGTTACCATATGTTAAGACTTGGGGTTCTGGAACCAGACAACCTGAGCTTGAATCTTCACTGTACCACTTACTAACTGTATGACCTTGAGCAAATTATGGTAATTTCTGAGCCTCAGTTTTCTCCCTTACAAAATGGGGTAACAACAGTAACAACTTCATAGAGTTATTATGAGGATTAAATGAGATAAGACATCTAACCCACTCAGAACAGTTTGCATATAAAAGCATTCAAGAAATGTTAATTCTTTCTGTGTATACTGCTACACCCACCCTACCCCCAGCCTTGGACCTTTACACTCCTACAGGAATGGCCCAGGAATTGAACCTGATGCAAATTTTCAAACTGCCAAAAAGATAAATAGAAACTTTCAAGGTTTTCTAGTTCTCTGGAATTCATATATATTAACTTAGACCCTGTATTCATATGGAAGAATTTAGTAAAACTCAAATGAAATGAAATAAAAAGTGAACGATAACAGAACAAACACGATGATGAAGAAACACATTATTCCCAGCAGTAATGGTCATACAATAAATGGTTTGCTGAGTTAATGAATAAATGCTTCTATCATTACAACAAAATGCAGGTATGAGCACAAAAAGAGATCAAATCAGCATTTTTGAATTTGATTATCAAAAGTAAATTTAACTGGTGCTAGAACACATTTCTTCATTAAATTATCTAGTTACATTAAATCTGTATCATTTATTCAATTAAAGCCCACATATGGGAAAATCACTGTTAGAGAATCAAGTTTCATTATAAAATACTAAATATAAGGACTAAGATATTTTTATACCTCTTTTCGCATTCCATAGTTTGTTTTGGCTTGTTTCTTGGGACAGAAGTTGAATGATTAAGAATCCTAGAAGTAAATCAATACGTTAATTCCAAAATACATTAAAGAGAAAAGTGTTTACACATGATATAAAAAATCTCCATAATAAACTGCATCTGGTCCATGAAGATCTCTGCTAGAAAACAATGTTTACATATTATTTAGATCTAATGCCCATGACTATTATGAAGGAATGAAGCTCACCAACTCTGCCACGCATCTTCTTTTAAAAACCTTTTCTTGAAACCTGGATATCTTCTAACCATGCTATTGCCCTGTGTGTATCTAACTTTTGGCTGAGACAGAAAATAAACAGATGCAGATTGTTTAGGTGCCATCATGACTGATTTCATTTTCCCAGCATAGCAAATGAAGCGAGTTATGTTGATGCAACAGATGACCATTTTGCCAAAAGCCAAATAACAAATCTTAATTCTAAATGTAAAGCCATGGCGGGGAGGGGGGATTGGTTGGCCCGGTGATGGGCATTAAGAAGGGCCAGTACTGCATGGAGCACTGGGTGTTATACGAAAACAATGGATCGTGGATCACCACATCAAAAACTAATGATGTACTGTATGGTGACTAACATAATAAAATTTAAAAAATAAATTAATAAAAATAAATGTAAAGCCATGTTAAAGTTCAATTATTTAGGGGAGCCTGGGTGGCTCAGTCGTTAAGCGTCTGGCTTCAGCTCAGGCCATGATCTCAGGGTCCTGGGATCAAGCCCCACGTCGGGCTCCCTGCTCTGCGGGAAGCCTGCTTCTCCCTCTCCCACCCCCCCTGCTTGTGTTCCCTCTCTCGCTGTGTCTCTCTCTGTCAAATAAATAAAATCTTTAAAATAAATAAATAAATAAAGTTCAATTATTTAAAAAAAAGCTCACAAATTTATTAAACTTTCAGTAACCCAAATGAAATGGTATTTGAAGAGAACAAAGAAGAGAAAGAATGACAAACCATGAGAGACAATACTTGTCCATAATTTTATAGAATTCTAAGTATTAATCTCTCAAAGTCAAAAGTAGTGAATTAATAACTTTCTTTCACGTAAGTCACTAACCTATTTAAGAGTTCTTAATATTTATCTATTTACTATAGATTTAAATGTAACTTACTTTTCAGTTTTAAAGTTTAGTCTTATAAGGAATAAAATATGTCTTTTATTCAAAAACCTTTAGATGTCAACTATCAAAACATAGAGGAGAAAATAATTTAAAATTAAAACCACATATTTACTACTAAAAGATATCATAAGCTAAAGATAAGTTGGTAATTACAGAAAGATGGTTAACCTAAAGAAACCAATTTCTATTACCTCGGTTTCCTCACTAGCTTGGACGGATTAAAGCCTCCCTGGGAGGAAATCACAGTGAGAAGCAAAGGACAAGTATCACAGGCAAAGCAGTACAGTTTGGCACCAAACAACACCTTTATTCTTCTTAGTATGGACATATACTAAAAGTGCACTTAATCATGAAATGCAAAAGAACTAAGGTAAAAAAAAATATCTAAGACTATTAGGAAGAAATACATCTTTAAAGAGTGATTTTTAAAAAGGAGATGTAACAGTGAGAACTGTCCTGAGGGGTGAATGTCAGAATTGCTGACAGCGGGAGGTGAGGGGTCAAACTACAATGCCCTCACTATAGTAAATTCTGAATTGTCCGCAAACCACACTTATTAGCATTGTAATTACTGATGTGTATAAATCAGATTGGAGCGGAAAGAAAAACAAAGTTGAGATCCACTTACCTATAAAATGTATTTTATATACTTGAGAATTCCCCTACGTAAACGCTTGTTTGTACATGGGTATTTAATGTTTTACTCTGTGATACTCAAAGTCAAAATAAACATCTATTTTATCTAAATATCTATTATTCTAGATTATTAACACATTTCCCTAACCCAGTTACTAGTACTGTATTTTAAGTAAATGACTGTAAAATTCAGCTGCACCAACCTGGCCCCTTAATACTTAATGTTTCCACAAACTCTAGATACCTTGATGCATGTCCTGCTGCTCTGGTCCTCTGGAAGAATTTTTCACTGAATGATGCTCTATAACACAAAGGCCTCCATCTGTATTCACATTTCCCGTACATCAACCAAACCAAAAGATGGGAGAAGTAAGATGTTTTGGTGAGGACAGGGAAGTCATTAGTAAAGCAAGCAAAAAAGAAAGAATGGATAGATTTCAAGGGTTGGGAAAACTACCTAATTAGTTATAACAAGCTAGAGGTTAATATGATGCCCCTCAAACTGGAATATTCATATATATGATCAGAAAAAAAAATCACATGAAATAAGTTATGTATATAATTTCTATAATTCTGAACCAAAATAATAACTTCTCAAAATGTGATTTTCCTTTCCACGATCCTTAATTATATACTTCAATAGAACTTTTCAAAATTACTTTTTTTTAATTTAGCCATATTACATAGTACTAAGAAGCACATCTTTCCGCAATACGTGAAAACTCTCAGGACACACTTAACAGCAAATAAAATAATTATTAAAAAGAAAGACATAATAGAAAATACTATGCAAGTTAGCAGAAATGAACATGCAATGGGAACCAGTCAACTGAAGCTATTCATCACAAAAGCCCACATATATGGTAATCCTTTCTTTATGATGATAACCACACAAATTTTAAGAAGCCACCTAAACATCAACTTATTCTGCCACATAATAAAAATATCTGTATAAGAAAATGAAGAGGGGGCGCCTGGGTGGCTCAGGCAGTTAAGTGTCCAACTCTTGATTTCAGCTCATGTCATGATCTCAGGGTCACAACATCAAGCCCCACATCAGGCTCCACGCTCAGCGCAGGGTCTGCTTGAGACTCTCTCTTCCTCCCTCTCCCTCTGCCCCTCCCCCCAAAATAAATAAAATCTTAAAAAAAAATGAAAAAGAACAGTAGTTATTTCTCTAATAATTAGATTAAGAGGGTTGATGAAAATTTGAAGAATTAGCTAAATAATTTAGAACATTAAGATAATTTTTTAAGATGACAGCTTTTTTTTTAATTTCCCAAATTACAGTGAAGATTAAAAACTAACAGAATAGCTATTTTAATATAAGGAGCTTCATCGACTCAGAGGGACTTCAATACACCCAAATACAAGTAGAAATAATCCAGTATTTTAACAAGGGGGGGTAAAGATTAGCTTCTAAAAACTCAACAATAAACTGTCAAAACAAAGTAGCTTAATCTATGCATCTCAGACAAAGAGGGAGCAGTCTTCTAAAAAGTGGCCTTCAGACTTTGAACACTTGTGAGTTATCTATTTGATAATTTATTTCATCTCCTTCCCCACCTTTTTTCACTATTAATTCTGTGCAATACCCTCTTGTTATTTTCCTAGGGTAGTTTCATCCACCAAGTACTAGTATAAACTTACTTAAAGAATAAAAGACACCTTTAAGAATAGTATGAACTAACCAATTGGCAAAGCTGCTTTAAAAGAAAATCATCACCAAACTCAATCTAAGCAGTTTTTTAATTGCCTTTAATTTGGGAGTACATGCATGGCTTCTTTCAGCTGAAACTAACACTGTATTTACCTTCAACTATTTGCTACCTAAAAACAGTTAAGTAACATACAGTCAGAGTAGGAGTTCTAGGTCGTACTTTCTGATATGTGAGGGTAATCTTACTCCACATAAATCATTTTAAATCAAGACAACAAGCAAAAACATTAAAATGACTGTGTTAAAACCTAAAATGAAATGTTATAACTCCTGATTGACTTACAATTTTATCTTATTTTATTTTGTTTTAAGATTTTATTGATTTATTACTTAGAGAGAGAGAAAGTATTTCAAGCAGACTCCATGCTGAGCAACGGAATCTGACTCAGGGCTCGATCTCATGACCCTGAGATCATGACCTGAGCCAAAATCGAGTCGGGCGCTTAACCGACTGAGCCACACAGGTATCCCTGACTTGCAATTTTAAAGAGCATTTCAGATTCTTCATTAATAAAGTTGGAACCTAAAACACAATACAGTGTGAAAGAGAAAAATCTATAACCAGAGAAGGTAGAATTAACATCAAATCCTCTAAGGGATGGATATATCTTTATAGAAGATTACTTTTGATTTTTTTGGACTCACTCAAATCAAGTACTGTAATAGCAAACAAAAATTTTAATTATCTACGTCTAAGAGATGTGGGCAACAGCAACATATTTTAGAAGAAGGGAAGAGATTATTTAGTGAAGAAAATGCTAGATTCAGCATACAAAAATTCTGAGATCAGTTTAAGTTCAGTCACTAACAGAACAGAACTGGCCAAGCATCTAATTTAAATTGTCTATACATTACAGATTTTAAAAGTAAAATGTACTCCTTACATTATGACCAGATATCATAAATATTTTAAGGCTTCCAAAATAAGACATAATTATTACATTAATGTCACTGCATATTAATATTTATCTTAAAGGATCTATATTCATATGTGCTAACATCTGAAAAGCTGATGAAGAGAAACATCAGAGAGAAATTACTTTTGCACACATCTAAAAAAATAACAAGTTATTTAGAATGAACATAACTAAATTAATGGTTCCTATTAGCTTTAAATTTGTTAATCTCATCTTCAGGCAAGCAATTAACTAATACAGTATTACTGAGTACCTACCATGTACAAGGCACAGTGCTAGGCACTATTTTGTACAGATTACAAAACTATCACACACAAAAAAAACCTATGAAACATCATTCGATGTTGTTTCAAAGCTAAAAAGAATAATTCAAGTTATAGGAATAGATGAAAAATAATAGAAAACTGAAAAATATAGAAATGATATCTATGACATTGTTAAAATCTAGAATTATACACTCAAATACAATTCTTAACCTAATCAGAGAAATAAATATTGCTGTGGGTACTTTTAAAATCAGTATTCTCTGCTCATAATGATAAATACAATTATTTCACCTGTTGGGTAGAAGAGAGAGAAACAACTATTTTTTAAGCTAAACAGAGCAGGTGGTGGCTTGCTTCATCAGGCCTCTTAAACCATGGGGGCAACCAAATTACTTTGATTATACTGGAGGGAGAAAAACATACATAACCTCACAAGTAGCCAATATAAAAAAAGGTCCATTAGAAATGAATCATAGGAAAAGATTAGAAAATAAATTTCACAGAAAAGGGTGACAGAAAGTTATGGTAGAAGAAAAACGTGAACTGGGAATGAGGATACATTAAAGAAGGGATAAAGAGGAGTGATATTTTCTAGTATGGTTTTTAATTCTATAAGTGTAGAATTTATAGCTGTACAAAAAAGGATATTTAGTAATTATTTAAAAAAAATAGTGGCCCTTAAAACCAGACATTTGCAATTTGATAAGTTTCAATAGTAATTATTTTTCAAAGCATATCTAAAAGCAAATGCCAATGTACTTAAATTTTAAACGTTCCAAAACATGGTCATGTGACCCACAAACATTTTTTTGGTTAAGAGAAGTAAAGTACTTATTAGTTACCCATGTTAAATGCACCAAAATTATTCTTTTAATTTTCTCCGAACAAAAAAAACTCAAATCTTCTTTATTATTTCAAAACTATAAATGTAGTACTCTCAGTACATAAAGATGGCATAATAGCTGACCCTCAGCAGCACAGAGAACATCTGCTGTATTAAAAATGGACTTGCACTGATTTTATATTCATTCATACGTCTTCCTTATCACCAATGGCATGTATCTGGGGAAAGCTTAGCCAGAGGGAGAAATCGTCATTGACCAAGGAACAAACCAAAGTGAACCTGTGACCAATCATCATGTTGATTTAATCAACCATTATAAAATTCCATTCAATTCTAAGGAGTTTACACATACCCCAAGTAATCTGGAATCTGATAAAAAGTGCACTACATACACATGACACGTACTTGGGGAGAAATGCTCATAATGTATCTAACGCTATTGTGAGCTAAAATGAATATCAATAAATCAGTTCTTATTATATAGCACACAGGAATAAAAAAGAGACACCTACACAATAATTAAATAAAATGACCATGTGAATATAAAGTATTTGTCAATTGTGTACATAACTTTACACTTCTCTCCTAATTATTTCCTATTGTCTTTTAGTAGTTAGTCCCTTGACATCGATCTTAAGATGGTCCTACTGTGTACTGGAAACTTCATTTGATAATCTTTGAATAATCATTTAATGATTATAAAGTCTGCCTATTTAAATCTCACTACTGGAAAAAATACCTGTTCTTCTGCTCTTGCTGCAGTAACTGAGCGGCTATTTTCCTCAAATCAGTTACTTCCTTCAAATCATCATCCTCTTCCTCTGCAAGTAACTGTTCTTTCCCAAGTCTGAAAGGTGACACAAACATGGTTATCCAAAATGTAAGGCAGATGATATTTTAATGCCAGCTTCCAGAAATAGAAACCATTTTTTCATTTCTAATATCATGTAAAAAGCTAATAATACTAATGTCCTTGTTTTTAAAACATTAAAATAAGAAATAAGGAATATTTAAGGAATATAAAAATATATCTTCTATTCAATAGGAAATGTACCACACTGGTGATATTAATATAATTAATGACTAACAAAGTAAACTGTATTATTTTGTAATTGCTGAAATGTGTAATTTAACAATGTATACTCCCCAGTCTTGAATGTAATAACTGCAAAGCTCTAATATGCCTGTCTTTATAAATATCAAATGTTATAAAAATTTTACTAAACCACTAAACTTTTATCAGTTTATTCATCATGATGTTAAAAATCTCCATGTAAAATGTTTGAGTAGAAGAAATGCGAAATAGGTCCAAGTAAGATTGGCAAATTTGCAGGAAAATGCTCATTAAAATAATTTTTAATCATTCAAAGAGAACAAAGGAATTTTTAATTAAGTTGTTCTCCAAACTCTAGTAATCTTATCCCAAAGGTATTTCATTTAAAACACAGTATCAAATCCTAAGACTTTGTATCTTGACCATATCTTGTATGCCACTGTGACACTAATCCAACTGTCTTCATGAGATAAGGTGAGAAAGTAAGAGAAAAATGAAATATAAAGAGTACAAGACAAAGCAATGAACCACCTTATGCGGTACCAGAGATGACTAATTCATGACTGATTAAAAAGTTACCAGTGAGGTCATGTGGAGGAAGCACAATGTAAAGAAAAGAGAAAAGCTTAGGGATCAGAAAGAGCTAGGTTCACACCCTAGGTTCTAGTGGACACTAAGTGGTTCTAGGCAAGAAAATTTAGAGTCTTCAAGCTTCCCCTTCCTCATCTGTAAAAACAGGGACAGTATCAACCCTGCAGCATTTATTGAAGATTAAATAAGAAACATGAGGGGCACCTGGCTGGCTCAGATGGAAGAGCATATGACTCTTGATTGTGGGGTCATGAGTTCAAGCCCCACGTTGGGTGTAGAAATTACTTAAATAAATAAAAGGTAAAAAAAAATAATAATAATCTTTGGGGCACCTGGCTGGCTCAGTTGGAAAAGAATGCTACTCTTGATCCCGGGGTCATGAGTTCCAGCCCCATGTTGGGTGTAGAGAGTGCTTAAAAAAAAAAAATTAAAAACTGTAAATAAATAAATAAATAAATAAATAAATAAGAAACATGGGAAAACACATAGCACAGATCCTGGTACATGGTAGGTATTCAACAAATGTTCCCTCCTTCCTTCCTGCAGCTACAAAGCAATTTTAAGGAGTGACTGAATATCGCAAGTCATATTCCATCATTTCATAAGATAAATGAGCAGAAAAAATCCAAAGTAGAAGGATTTTAATAAAATACAGAGATAAATGCCCTTAAAATTACTATAACCAGTCTGATGTTATAGTGTATTAGACCAAGAGTTGGAAGACCTGAGTTCCAGACACTTGAAACTCCAGGTCGGTTTCCTTATGGGCCAAATGATGCAAAAAATCATCTATTTTAAAGAGTTGCTAAAGAGCTCAAATGAAGCAATGTATGTGAAAGTACAGTCCTCCTTGGTAATAATAATAGGAGAATTATACTTCTGGGAGGCAGGGGAAATGTATATACTATACTCAGCTTAATTGCTTACTATAATTTTCAGTTTAATTGAGGAATGCAGAAAAATGAAGTAGTTACAAATTAACTATCTGAACACCACAGGTAAATGAACCAAAAATTATATTCTTTCAAAGCACTTTCAAGTAGGAATACCTAACAAATATTTCATGTATAAGTAACATTTCAATTTGAGAATTCCTGTGTGCTTACCTTTTTTCATCTCCCAATTCTTCATTTTTCTGAGATTTCTCAGGACCTTTTTCTTTCCCCTTACATAAAAGAAAGTTATAATTTTAAATCTATGTGGTGTACTTTTGTGAGATCAAAGAAAATATGTTATTAGTATTTGTTCAAAATTTTCTTTACCTTAAGGAAAGAGACATATGATCCAATATGCGCATCTCCTTGTTCAGGAACTGCTACATCTTCTGTGTTAGGGTCAATAAAATCATACACCTCTTGGTCTAATTAAAGATTAATATTTGTTAGGAAATATAAATAGTAAACAGTAGGCTTTCATACTGTATTGTTTAGAATAATAGTCGATTTTCTCAATAAAAGAACTGGCCGAAGATACTATAATTTTTCAAAATGCATTTTTAATAAGGGCAATATACATGAAATAAAAATAGCAGGTGCCATATGAATCACCTTTCTGAGAATCAGGTTTACTTCCTATTGAGTGACTGTCATTTCTTGATGTCTGCTCTCTATTTGACTCTGAGACTTGAGAGTGAAGGCTGATTGTGTCATCATCTGATGGCTGAAAGGAATAAGCACAAAGTACAAATGAGGCATTTTAAACATAGAATAGGATTAAATTGCTTTAATTTCACATAGGATGTGCAGAATATCTGCTTTACATCTCCAGTTCTGAAACCAAAAATTAGTATGTTAAGGTTTACTGCTCTGCTTCTAAAAATGTGCATGTCCTATTTTCATTTGAAGTCATAAAATGTAATAATGATAATATTTTTAAGCAAAAACAATCAAGTGTGTGCAAGTGTCTACCTATTTCAAAACTCTAACAAAATTTTAAAATAAAATAGATCAGCAATAGAAAAGACTCACTTCTGTTGTAGATAATCGTTTCTCTCCATTATCACTTCCAATTCCAGAGTCAGGGCCATGATTTTTATTCGGATAAAAGTCTTCCATACTATGGAAATAGAAATTCTAAGGGCAATTAGGGTTTTCTTCTTAAATAAATACAGACATGACCTAAAATTTCCCTAGATAATAGAGAATATATTCTCTTGATGTCTAAAATCCTTAAGAACATGAAGGGAAAATATCAGAAATCTTCCTATAAAATATTTTATTCATATCCCTCATGTAATATTTTCCCTGCATGTGCTCTGTTGTAAAGTGTCAATTGTTGGGGCACCTGGGTGGCTCAGTCAGTTAAGTGTCCAACTCTTGGTTTTAGCTCAGGTCGTGATCTCAGAGTTGTGCGATCCAGCCCCACGTAGGGTTCCATGCTCAGTGAGGAGTCGGCTTGAGATTCCTTCCCCCTCTTTCTCCCTCCCCCTCTGCTCCTTCCCCCATCCAGCTCGTGTGTGTGCATGCACACACCCTCTCTCTAAAACATAAATAAAATCTTTAAAGTGTCAATTGTTAACAATAACCTATTACTTCTCCTGAGAGATACAGAAAAGCAGAGGATCCTGCTAGAAAATAAACTTAATGAAAGACATTTTTATTTTTCTGGTTTAACAAATTTCACCATAGAATGTTGAAATATTTTTTAACTTTAATTCATAATCTCTTCATTAGTTCTAAAAATATGCTTTAGCTTTATAAATAATGCCCATCCAAAAATTAAGAGAAAATGCAAAAAAAAAAATCAGCAAAGATTTGAATAAGTCATCGTTTTGGTATGACGATTGAACTGTCCTTACAAATTTCTGAATTACACAACAGTATGCCACCCAGGTTGTAAAGTATTTTTCACTTTACTTTGCAAATTTACATACATGCAAATTTGCATATATTCTATATAGACCATTTTTTATGTGCCAGGATTAGGCTAAGTGCTTTAAAGATCTTATCTCATACATGCCTTGTTTAAATTCTAGCAGGTTGGTGTTTTCTCATTTTGCAGGTGAGGAAACAGAGGCCAGGACGGATTGAACAAGTTACCCAATGACCCGCAACTTACAAATGGCAGTTTAAATTTGATCCCAAGAATCTAACACTATAAAGTCCCTGATCTTCATCACTATGCTATATTTCTTCCCCAAATACTGATCTGTACAGTTTTCAGGAGTGTATCAATAAACTGAGGTAAGCAATTACCAAGTAAGTGCCAGGCACTATGAATGCTTGAAATGAAATGAGATGAATTAAAAAATGTTTGGCCTCGAAGGGCTCTCAGCCCAGAGAGGAAGTATGTTTATATATTTTGAAGACTATGACAAAGGTAAATATAAAGTACTATGAGAAAAAAATCAATTCTTGGTAAGTTTAGGAAAGGCCTCACCCAAGAAAGTGGCATTTGAGCTTAGTCTTGAAGGATAAAGAGAGGCAATACTTGCTAGCATTTACTGTGTCTACACTGTATTAGCTACTGTGCCAGGTACACATATTTTATTTATAATCCTTATATTCTGCAATTTATGCATTATTTCTTTTTACAAATGAGGATAATGGAGCTTATAAAAGTTAACTTCCCAGGGGAAAAAATGTAACATTTTTTTTAAAGATTATTTATTTATTTACTTGACAGAGATTGAGAGAGCACAAGCAAGGAGAGCAGGAGAGGGAGAAGCGGGCTCCCTGCTTGGCTCAATCCCAGGACTCTGGGATCATGACCTGAGCCAAAGGCAAATGCCCAACCGACTGAGCCACCCAGGTGCCCCCCAAAAATGTAACATTTACTGAATATCATTTCTTGAACTAGTTGCCAAGCACACATTTAATTTTCACAACAAGCTTATGAAGTGGGTATTGTTAACATTTTAAGTAAAGAAACAGGCTCAGAGAGATTAAATAACTTACACAGGCTACAGAGGAATTAAGAGGTTAAACCATGATTAGAAGCAAAATCCATCTGACGCCACTGCACAATAATATATCCATGTACTATACTAAAATATATGTGTATTTGTAATAGTTGACAATGATAGTAATAAGCTATTTGTTGAGGAACTGTATGGGTAAGGCATTGTATTAAGTACTCTATATACATTATTTAATTTAATCCTGACAGCATCCATATGATTATTTTCCTTTTTAAATAAAAGAAAACATGGAGCACTGAGTGTTATATGAAAACAATGAGGGGCGCCTGGGTGGCTCAATCATTAACCGTCTGCCTTCAGCTCAGGTCATGATCCCAGGGTCCTGGGATCAAGCCCCGCATCGGGCTCCCTGCTCCGCAGGAAGCCTGTTTCTCCCTCTCCCACTCCCCCTGCTTGTGTTCCTGCTCTCTCTGTCAAATAAATAAATAAAATCTTTAAAAAAAAAAAAAGAAAACAATGAATCATGGAACACTACCTCAAAAAAACTAACGATGTAATGTGTGTTGACTAACATAACATAATAAAATAAAATTTAAAAATAAATAAATAAATAAATGAAAGAAAACTAAGGACTAGAGACGTTATGACACAAGGACATAAAGTTATCAAGAGCTGGAGAAGGGCTTCATGGGCATATATATCTGACTCCAAAAGTTGATATACTTAACTACTATAATGCTTACCTATGTAGAATAAGAGTTTACAAAATAGTCAAGGCATGGAAGGCTATTCTGGGTAGTAAGAACCGTAAAGCCAGAGGCATGAGTGGAAAAGTGGAAAGTGCATACGTGAATTAGTTCTAAGTAGTTCAATACAGGCTGTGAGTAGGAAATTAGCACATCCAAGAGTCACTTCATTAAGTAAACTCTATTAACTTGCACTATCCTATATAGTAGCCACTATCATATATATATGGTTATTGAGCACTTGAAATGTGGCTAGTCTAAATTGAAATGTGCTATAAATAAAAAATACACCCCAGATTTAAATGATGTAATAGAAAGAAAAAGAACATGAAATACCTTACTAACATTTTTACATGAAATTCATGTTGAAATGATATTTTGGATATACTGGGTTAAAAAACATTTTTTTTTTTTAAGGATTTTATTTATTTGTCAGAGAGCGAGCACAAGCAGGGGGAGCGGCAGGCAGAGAGGAGGGAGAAGCAGGCTCCCAACTGAGCAGGGAGCCCGATGCGGGACATGATCCCAGGATCCTGGGATCATGACCTGAGCCGATGGCAGACGCTTAACTCACTGAGGCACCCAGGTGTCCCTAAATAACATATTATTAAAATTAATTTCACCTGTTTCATTTTTACTTTTTTTAATGGATTACAAGAATGTGAAATTACATACGGAGCTTATATTACATTTCTATTGGACATCGTTGCTAGAGACCATCTCCAAAATATATCTCAATCCTGTCCACTCCTTTTCATCTCTACTGCAGTCACCCTATTCAAGACCCCCTGATCTCTTGGAAGTACTTCAACAACCTAACTAGTCCCTGTGCTTCTGCTTTTGTTTACTTCCAATCTATTCTCCCTATTATAAGATCCAAAACAGCTCTTTTTTAAAACATAAATCAGATCATGCTATTCCCCTGCCTGTAACTGTCCACTGACTTCCCATTGTACTATAAGTCAAACTCCTTACCACAGCCTCCAAAGCACCCACATGACTCACCTCAAGCCCTGACTACCTCCTCAAAATCCCTGACTACCTCCTCAAAATCAACTTGTACTTCCGTACCCTCAGCCACTCTGCTCCAAACAGGCTGGCCTTTCAGTTTCTTTAACACACCAAGTTTCTTCCTAACTTAAGGCCTTAGCACATGTCATTCTTTCTGCCTGAAACACTCTTCCCCTTAGTCTTTACACAGCTAGCTTTTCTCCTTTCAGGTCTTGACTTAAAACCTCACCTTCCCAAAGTGACATTCCCTGAACATACTCCTGAAATATGTTCCTTTCCTTCACAGCACTCGCCACAATTTTGAAATTGTATGTGTGTATGTATATTTTATTTCTTTGCTTTGTTTGCTGACTGACTCCTCCACTACACTGTGGACTCCATGAGGGCCAACACCAAGGTGTACATCATTCAACGAAACATACCCTGAACCTGCCAGCAGGCATTTGACTGATACTTGTTTTTTAACTGATATTTGTAAAATAAATAAATGACTAGTATAATGAATGCCATTACTCAAGTAAATTCATTTTTAAATAAATATAAAGCAAACTAATGAAGTTTAGAGTATGAATAAAGTCTAGTTTTTGTATAATTGGTCTATTATCATTCATAATAAACAAATCAATCTTTAGGAATTAAATATAATGTTTAGATATTTAATTCTACTTAGGCAACAGAAATATTCAAGAAAATGTCCTATTTGGGAATTCAAGAACAGTACTTAAAATACTGCCATTCCAATTAGTCTAAATTTTGGCACAAATAAAATGACAAACCTTTAAACATTTTAGGCAAGAGTGTAATCTCCCTTTCTGTAGTCTCAACCCATTCCAAATTATTTTCAATACTAATGGATGGAATTATGTTTCCATAAAATCTTTCAGACCAACCTACATCCCAAAAGGATGGATTAAAAACAGATAATCAAATCTACCATTTCAAAATCTCAGGAGATTTTCATATCATAGAGTATCAATATCATACAGAATATCAATGATAAATCATCTTTGGTCTAGACATAAATAAAGAATATGAAGAAGAAGTGTACCCCAAAATGTCTTGCTCTTCCACTAACCTCAGTTCAAAGTCAAATTCTGCTAGTTATTACAATACTGATTAGTACAATAGAGTGATTATAGTGTAGTAAATTAACAGTTGTCGAGTGCTGAGAAATCAGTGTTTCTGTACTATAATGTCAAACGTTTACATTTTACTACTAAAATATTAGTACAATTAATATTTTGAGAAAATCCCAAATTTATTCTATATCAAAGAGGTTCATTCTATGATGGTAAGATTTCACTTCAATCAATTATTGATTTTAACACTGGGCCAATCAACCTAAATATATTCAGTACACTCAAGATTAATAAATACCTTTTACATACAGAGAAGACACCAATCATGAGATGAGACTGTAAGAATATTACATTACCTGTCCGTGAGAGGCTGGGAGGGCATTCTTTTACTCAGTGATGGAAGATCCAGAGAATCTGGTTTCTTATCCATTCTGCAACATGCTTGGATATTTAAGTATTTAAATATGTGTACTTTACCCTTTAAACATATCTGTCAAATAATTGAGAAAGTAGATTTAATTATATAGGTCCAAATATAAATTTCACCTACCAATTTATTTACATATTTTAATAACCTTAAAATTATGCTGAGACATCACTATCATAATAGGTATTTTACATATTTGAATTTGCACTGCTGACACTTTATGAAAACATTTGACAGTGATACCAACTAAAATTCTTTAGCTGTTTCTATTCTTACTAGAAAAAAATAAGTTAATTTTTCTGTATGTCACTAAAGTGTTCTTGTTAAAAGTACAATAACAAACCACTAAATAATATAAAATCTATAATTCATAAAAGTTGCTTTTATTAGAAAAAAGTGAAAAGAAATATATTCGTTGCAGTGATGACAACAAGAAAAAAAATAACCCATGTCATTCTTTGAAGTAATCTTGTCAGGGACACCTGGGTGACTCGGTCAGTGGAGCATCTGCCTTCAGCTCGGGTTGTGACCCCAGGGTCCCGGGTCCCAGGGGCCCTGCATCGGGCTCCATGCTCAGTGGGGAGTCTGCTTCTCCCTCTCCCTCCACCCCTCCCCCTGCCCCTGCTCTCTTTCAAGTAAATAAATAAAATCTTTAAAAAAAAAAAGGTAATCTTATCAGAAACACTAAATTGTTTGGTCTAAGCACTGCAAGAGAGCTAATCAAAAGAAAGTAAATAGAGGAAAAATTAATTTGTTGAAAGGCATGTTAGTAGGCCAGTTAGAATAAAAAAGTTTTTTAAATGGCCAATTCAACTAAGATAATATCCTGAAAAGTTATTTTCACTGGTGATGAAGAAAAGGAATTATAAGGGGTAAAATACTATGTGAAAGAAAGTAGTCTATATAAAAAAGACAATGAGCAGTAAGAAAACAGTAAGTCAGCTTTACAAATGTTAACTGCAGTCACCATGAGTAATATTATATAAATATTTCTCAAAAACTATAATCATAGGGCACCTGGCTGGCTCAGTAGGAAGAGCATGCAACTCTTGATCTCAGGGTCATGCGTTCAAGCCCTACGATGGGTGTAGAACTTACTTTAAAAAAAAGTTAAGAAAACTATAATCAAAAATGTTTTGTTTTATGGGCTCACATAACCTACAAATATATGCAAAAATAGTCAACAAAGAAAACAGTAAGAAAAGTACATTTAAAGATAATTATCATTCCTGGTATAAAGGAAGAATGTTTCTTAGATAATTGTAATAGATATCAAATCTGACCTGACCACTGAAAAATTTCATTTAAAAGGAAAAACTTGTGAGCTATTAGAATATAAATATACCACCAATTAAAACATACCCCATTATCTGTATAAAACAAAAAATAATTATCTTTCATTATCAAATTAAATACTGGTGAATTCTTTCCTTTTGTAAATTTTTTTAAAGATTTTATTTATTTGAGAGAGAGAGAGAGCTCACAGGTGCACAAGCAGGGGGAGGGGCAGAGGGAGAAGACAAGCAGATTCCTCACTGAGCAGGGAGCCCTATGCAGGGCTCAATCCCAAGACCCTGAGATCATGACCTGAGCTGAAGTCACATGCTTAGCCGACTGAGCCACTCAGGTGCCCCCTTTCATAAATTTTTTACTGTAGTAATTCATGTACACAGTTTTAAAATCAAAGAGAATTATAAACCTGATAAAAAATTAATCCCCCATTCTACCCCTTTCAATCTCCAAGACCTAGTCCCCACATATCAACTTTTAGTTGGTTTTCTGCTACTTACCTTTATATTTATCAGTAACATGGTTCTACTGTTTTATTTTTTTAGTTATAGATCTTCTTAATTGAGGTCTTACTAAGGAAATTGAGGACTTAGATTTCTTACATTACCACTACCACCACTAATCACTTATCAACACCATACCATCATCCCATCTTCAATCCCCATCAACTTCCTCCTTCAGAAGCACAGCATAGTGGTTAGAGCGTGGACTCGAGTCAGACTACCTTGGTTTGAAACCAGCTGTACCACATGCTAGCTATGTGGCACTGAATAAGTCCCTTAGCTTCTATGCCTCTGTTTCCTCATATATAAAATGAGATATAATTACAGTACCTGTTTTATAGGGTTACTATAAGAATTAAATAAATTAATGCATGTAAAGCATTTCAATAGCACCTGGAACACAGGAAGCACTAGATGTATCTTTGCTATTATTATAACTATGTCACAATTTCTCATTAAATCAAAATCCAGTATTTACAGTATTATGACCAAGAAAATATTCTGCTGAGGCAAAGAGCAATAGTCATTTGGCTGCTGAGCCAAGGGAGAGAATCTGAGAGAATCTACCTACCTATTCTACTACTGCATAAACCCCAGGCTTCTACTAAGGCAAGTGAGGGCCAGTTACGTCGCTGCAGAGCTAAGGTCAAGAACCTGAGGGTGTAAATCTTAGACCTGTCGTGTCCAATATGATAGCCACTAGTCACATGAAGCTATTTAATTATAAATTAATCAAAATAAGATTACATCTGGATTTTGGTTCCTTAGTCACACCAGCCATATTTCAAGTACTCAATAGCCACATGTGGCAAGCAGCAATGGTATCAGAGAGCACAAATTACAGAACGTTCCTATAATTCAGGAAGTTCTGCTAGACAGCACTGCCTTAGACATTCTGCAGACCTTCATATTTTCAGTCTTTCTTCCTTCTATTCAGTTATACGTTTCCTCCAACACACAAGCCATTCCCAGGTTTAACACAGTAAATCAACCTTCTTCTTGTTGCCTTCTCCCAAGCTTCAGCTTTCCCCATCCTGCTAAGGCAGCTACTACCAGCACCCAAGCCAGGCTTTATTTGAATTAGAAAAAGCAACTCCTTTGGAATGAGTGGAATGCACCTTTGTAGAAAGAAAAAAGCAACCCTTCTTCTGGATGTATGCGAACCCTGAGCGAGGGAACATAGCTTGGAAATGGAGAAGGGGCTGGCATTTCACTGCCATGTGCCTCTTAGGCCAGTGTAAGTAAAGACCCGAGTTTCTGCTATTTCATCTGTCTTCCATTTTCCAAAATTCCATTGCCATTTCTCCCCTGCTGCCCTCTTCTCTCTAACTCTTTGGGCTTATGGGTTTATATCTTAGTATATTCCTTTACTATCACTTCAGTGGACAACACCTGGATTTAATCCTCCAACTCAAAGAGGCTGAATTAATAGTTTTCCGCTCATATCTTATTCCTTCTGTTAGGATTCCATCTATCAGTGCTAAGCATGTGTTTCAATCAATCGTACAACAAATGTCAAGTAGATACATACCTGAGTAGGACAGAGGTAGAGAGACTCCACAGTCTATGTTTTTAAAAGACCACTGACAGAATTTGACTCCTAATTCTGATGCTTTTTGATTTACCAATTTGATGTATAATTATGAGTAAAAAGAGAAGAAACACGTATCGTATTTTTATTACAAACCTGTGCTGGTGGTACTTGCAATGGATTGTTATCCAAAATCATTACTTGTAAATGATGCAGCTTCCTGTAACAAACTGGGATTTCGGTCACTTTATTACAAGAGAAATCCAGCTTGACTAAGGGAAGATCTCCTAATTCTGTTCAGAAATGAAAGATAATTAAATTAAATTTGACACAGTTACTCTCTTATTCATTTCAGTAGAAATAATGAGCATCTTACCATCTGGCAACACATGAAGATTATTTCTTCTTATATTTAGCTCTCTAAGTGAATGTAATTTTCCCATTTGTTGGGGAAGGACCTGAATCTCATTGCAGCTAATATCCTAAGGAAAATAAGAAAATAAAATTATAACAAACTAACTGAGAAATACCTATTTCCATTTTAAAATTAAAGCACATGGCTAATAGCTAGCAAAAGTTACCTCAAATGCTGTTTCTCTAAAAATGGATTATCTGGCAGATTTCTATTTATCTTGCATCATGAGGTCAATCTAGCACAGTTAACATGTGCAACACTGTGAAGTTATAACTTAGTACTACATAATTCAGCCTTTTGAAAATCTCAACTAAAGACCACTCTCGCCAACCAAAACTAAAATTATAAGGATAATGCAAGTGCTCTTCATTCAGAGGTAAAATAAAAAATGACTATCAATCACTGTGATAATCTGTCAATTACAGTAGTTTTGAGTTACTCTGTTAGGCAGAAGCTGAGAGAGTCAAGAATTTACAGACATGAGCTGGAGAACCAAAGACTATGGTCAGAATCAATTTAAACCTCTTTCTCAAAGGGATACAAAAATGAGGGGTTACAAGCTCAAAATTCTGCGGCCCACATCATAACCCAAAGACTCTCCAAGGAGATCTGAATAGGAAGTGTCTCAAGGTTAAATTAAAATGCAAGTCCTGATTTAAAGGTAAAGGATACCACTTTTCCTTAATAAGAGACAGCTTAACTGTGCTCTCCTCTTCCTCCTCTTGAAGAAAAATCTGCAACAAGATCTCACACAGCAGTCATTCCAGACACACTGCAAATGAAATTCACATGCTACTGCAACTGCCCCCAATTTCCAACTTTCACTGCAAATGATATTAGCTTGGAGGGAGACGAGTGGCACATATATTCAGTTCTATCAAAAATAAAAAAAGGCAAAAATAAATAAAAATAAAAAAGGCAGAAGGGTAAATTCAGAAGAATATTAAAGCCATGTAGGGAAAAATCCAATAGAGCCAAGGTGATTAGAAAAATGTATCCTACATACTTCTTTCAAACTATATCTAAGGCATCTTCATTCAATGACAAACATTTATCAAATACCAACTATCTGCTAGCCCCAGTTCTAGGTGCTAGGGACACACCACAAAATAAAGCCAACAAAAATTCCTGCCCTTGTTGCTCTTTATGGAGCTTATTACATTCTAGCAAGGAGAGTAGATTATATAATATTACAGGTGATAAGTGCTGTGAAAAAAAAACAAACAGCAGGGTAAAGGAAAACGACAGTGCTAATAGTAATGGGGAGGGATATTAGCAATTTAGATTGTCTCATTGAGAAGCTGGTATTTGAGCAGTATTGTCAGAGCTGAGAGTATGAGCCATGCCAGTATATAAGAAGGGAATATAAGGAATAATAAATGTAAAAGGACTCTTAGGCAAAACATGCCTGACAGGTACTAAAGAACAGCAAGAAATCCAGTGTAACCAGAAGGTAGTGGGCAAGGTTGGGGAGGGGGGAGACTGAAGTGGTAGGAGGGATACAACTTAGGCTTTTATTCAAGAGATATGTGAGCAGGAACCAGAAACTTTTAAACAGAGGTATGACATGATCTGACTTATGTTCTGACAGGATCACCTTAGCTATGTTGAGAATAGGCTATTATCAGAAACGAAAGATAATAAAATTTTGGAAAAATGGCCTTTAAGTTAATACTATTGCTTCCTACAAAAAGTATCTAATACTAGAGATTTCCATATAAAAATCCATAGAAATTTGATAGCTGTCCAGAAGAAATAAACCCAAGCACAAAAAACCGACCCACTCACCAATGGGTACTCTACAAAATACTCGGCTGGGTATTGGAGAGCTGAGAATATTTCCTATGCTTCTGATGACAGAATTTCACTGTAGTCGGCTACCACATTCTTGTGGAATAGTGTCATGGGAAATACTCCAATTACAGGTAAAACCTACAAATTCATTACGTGATTTACAACTGTCAGTTAGCCATCCAAATGCTATCTATCCACTGTTACTGATTTCAAGAATTTAAATAAAAGCACGATAATTTTACAGTGCCTAGTGAAATATGGTATTTAATAGTTTTAAAATATTCTACTTAGCCAAAAATACTAGAATAAATCTAAAAATCCTAAATATTTTTAAAATTTTATTTATCCCAAAACTATCTCATGTAATATAATTTAGAAGATAGGGTCAAAAACTGAATGAAACAAAAGAAAAAGAAATTATACAGCCATAGAATAAAGTACAATGTTTATAAAATCTTTAAAAATATTAACGGTATCTAAGTTAAAGAAAATACTGGTCCTCTTTTACCATGAATTTGTTAAATCACCTCTAGAATCTTCTGCTCATTTGGGAATAATGTTAAAAGGGACCTTAATAAAAGGAAACATTTTCAGGACAGAAATAGCTAAAAATAAAAAGTAATGAAGAATAGAAATATAGAAAATATAAAAAGGAATAAAAGTAACAACAATGTTTAAGCTACAGAAAAACAGGTCTTAGAGTTTGGCAAAATGGAGAGCAGACATATGACAGATTACAAATACCGGAAGGGAAGAAAAGTTGCCATTATCTATACTTTTTCACATGGTAGTCTCAGGACCAATGGATAAAAGTGATAGGGGCATGTATTTTAGTTCAAAATAATAAAGAAAACAAAGTTTCGCAAAAGAGAATAAGGGATGCCTCAGTCGCACAAAAAAAGATTTATCCACCATTGAAAATATACAACTAGATGTGTCAGGGATTCCTTCATTAGCAAGTGGCTAAATTCTATGATTCTAAAACATTGTAACAAGACTAAGTTCAAGGCAGTCTCCTTGTGTTATAATTGCACATGCATCAATGAATGAAAGAAATAAAAGAATGACATTCCTGAAATTTCTGTTCATTATATTCTATTTGCACATTATTTTGCCACTGTATAATTGTGGGTAAGTTCCCCAAGAAAACTTTTGGCCCTCCACACATAATAAAGTCATACTTAAGAATACTTTAAAAATGTCTATGTATTGGGAAAGCATTACTCAAGATAAAACAAAAAAATTAAAATAAGGTATATTGTATGGAGGTGGAAGTGTTGGGAAGAAAGAAATGTCCTCTGCCTTTCAAAGTCCTTCCAGCTGGACTAAGAATCAAATTAACATGAGACAAATTAACAGGAGAAAATCAAATTTAGTTTCATAAGTATGGAGAATCCATACAAACATGAAATTCCACAGACAATCAGGGAACAAGAGGCTTATGTGACATCCTGAGCTAAGGAGATGATGGGTAGGAGTCCGGGAAAACAAAGGGGAGGAAGACCATTATAAGCAGGAAGGTGAGAGGAGATGTTTGGAAAATAAAGCAGTGCTCAATTATTCGAATAAGTTAGGTAAAGTCAAATAGGTAAAGAGGAATCTCTTTTAATAGGGCCTTTCCTGGTGTAGGCTCTCCTTTCCAATGTAAATTTAGGCAGTTGAGGGGGAGGTGAAGAACTTTTCCTAAATCTGTGGGTTTGATTGCTTTCAACTGAAAATAATCATGCCAAAGTAGCCCATCTTGGTGTCACCTGCCCTTGTCCCCCTACAGAAGCAACAGAAAGGTGAGAAAATAGGTCAATGCTTTGAAGATATATTTCTCTCAAAGTTCAATATCATTTAATACCTAAAATGTTCTGTTAAAGGTAATTAAATTAATGCTATATTTCTACAATTAATTGTATATAATGGCCTCTCTCCATTTATCTTGGTCCCAAAAGTGTTATAAAATCACAGGAGAATATAGGAGAGGAGAGTTATTTTGTTCATTCTATTGTTTGCAGGCATTGTACTCTCTTCCTTTATCCCCCTTCTCTGAGGCTTTCATAGTAGTCCTGTAAAACCTTTAAAAAAACTTATCTTTTCCTGGTCTAAGACCTTTACTGTCCCCAAATGAATAGAAAATGTTTATTGGTTTGAAAATCATTTCTTAAGACTTATAAGCAAACCTTTTGACCTCACTAGGACTAAGGAACAACCAGGCTTTTATTGTGGCTGTGAGCTAAAATCAGACATAAGCAATGGTATATCAAAATTTTACTAAGGTGAACATAAGCATATACCAAGTTCCTCTTTTAAAAAAAAATTACACTGAAATTTCATAAAGAGCAATCTTCCAAAATATAAAGGTATGTGTTATGTATATTATATACTATACACGATCAATGCAACTATTTTACTCACCAATTCCATTAAGTCTTTTAACTTCCCAATTTCTTCTGGAATGGATACAAGTTTATTATTACTGACGACCAAAACTTTAAGGGGGAGATCAAATAGGTATTTTGGCAATGTTGATAAAAGATTTCGACTGAAAAGAATAAGAAAGTCTCATTATGAGATATGTCTGAAATCTCTCACATTATGTTGAGATGAACAAATCACCTCAAAAGTAAATAAAAAGCTTTCACCAAATAATGACTATCATTTAATGAGTGCTTACTCTGTATCACACTAAAATCCTTTAATGCACTATCTCATTTAATACTCCCATTAACCCCGTAAGACAGGCACTACTATTATCTCCATTATACAAATAAGAAAACAAAGGTTAAAACTGGCTAAGGGACTTGCCCAGTCACAAAAGATTGCAAAGCCTGTGTTGTTACCTATGATATTGTCTTACATAGCATCAGTTCTCAAAACCCAGAATCATTCTTCGGAGCTAGAAAATGCCAGAACCTTGATCTCTGGTATCATTTCACTGCATTCAATACCTCCATGACTCTAACAAAGGAAAGGTTCCAAAGATAAGTTTGAATGCACTAAGTTCAAATCTATGAAAGAATTAATAGAACTACATCTTCAAAGACCTGTAGCAACCCTAACCCATTCCCTTTTCTTATGGGTTTACGGTAGAACAGCCCACTAACACCTTTACCTCAGTTCCAAGTTGATAAAACATTCCTATCTCTGTGCATACACTTAAATATAACAACAACCAACATTTATTGCTTACTATGTGTCAGCCCATGTTCAGAGTACCTCACATGAATTAACTCCACTAACATCACAACAACCTACTTTAGGAAAATAGAGCGTATCATGGATGCCCATTTTACAGAGGAAGAATCAGTCAAAAAGAGATTAAGCAAACTGCTCAAAGTCACATAGCTGGTAAGTAAGACAGCCAGGATTCAAATCCGGGCAATAAGGCTCTGGGGTCCTTACCCTCAACCTACTGTGTGTCAAATTTATATAACAATATAGATTGACCCAAATGATCCCTGCTGTAGACTCAATGTTTGTGTCCCCCACAAATTTATAATGCTGAAATCTAATCCCCAATGTGATATTTGGAAGTGGGGCCTTTGGGAGGTGATTAGGTCATAAGGGTGAAGCCCTCATGAACAGGTTTAGTGTCCTTGTAAAAAATACCTCAGAGAGCTCCCTTACTCCGTCTACCATGTGAGGACAGCTAGAAGATGGCTGCCTATGAACCAGGAAGCAGGTCCTTAACCAGACACCGAATCTGCCGGTGACTTGATCTTGGACATCTCAGCCTCCAGAAATGTAAAAAATAAGTTTCTGTTGTTTATAAGGCACCCAATACATGGTATTCTGTCATAGCAGCCCAAACAGACTAAGACAATCCCCCCACCAAAAAATATAAAGTATACCATTACATTTACATACTATCAATATTCATAAAAATAAGTTATTTTTCCTGTTTTTCAAAGAGGCATTTATTTTTTTTTTTTTTTAGAGATTTTATTTGACAGAGAGAGCACAAGCAAGGGGAGCGGCAGGCAGAGGAAGAGGGAGAAGCAGGCTTCTTGCTGAGCAGGGAGCCCAATGCGGGGCTCGATCCCAGGACCCTGGGATCATGACCTGAGCAGAAGGCAGATGCTTAACCAACTGAGCCACCGAGGCACCCCTCAAAGTGGCATTTATAGACCTGTACCCAGCATTTTGTGCAACACACACAGCAACAAAAACCTAGTCTTACCCCAAGGAAGAATATCAAGACCTTTCAACTCCCCATGTTATGCCTGCAGAGGACATCCAGAAACACTAGACTGGCTTTAATCACAAGGCACAGACTTTACAAAAAAGAAAGGAAAAAAAAAATGCCCCGAGACCAGCAATCCTGGCCCGGGTACTGGAATGTCAAATATGCCAGGGGCTTGTTACAACCTTGACACTTTCAGGATCAAACAGGATCCTTGGGAAAGTGGCCAGTGTGAAGCACACAAGGATCTTCTTGCAGAGTTCTACTGAAAAAGGGAGTATTACACAGAAAGAGAGAGCTGAAAAACCATCTTACAAGTTTCTCAAAATATTTTCACCAAAATAAAAAATAAAGTGGGAAAAATAATGGCACATACAAATTCATTCTAATCTCCTTCAGACCAAAAAGTTTAAAAATTGGCCTATTTTGGGGGGACACGTGGCTGGCTCAGCCGATAGAGTGTGTGACTTTTGATCTGGGGGTCATGAATTCAAGCCCCAAGTTGGGCCTAGACCTTACTTTAAAAAAAAATTGGCCTATTTTCTTACTTTAAGAAACAGGTTCACTGAGTTAGCACAGTCAGCTGTCTCCAGAATGGAATTTCTTTTTTTAAGATTTTATTTATTTATTTGAGAGAGAGAATGAGAGAGAGAGCGAGCACATGAGAGGGGGGAGGGTCAGAGGGAGAAGCAGACTCCCTGCTAAGCAGGGAGCCCGATGTGGGACTCGATCCTGGGACTCCAGGATCATGACCTGAGCCGAAGGCAGTCGCTTAACCAACTGAGCCACCCACGCGCCCCAGAATGGAATTTCTTTATACACAGCTAAGAAGTCATTAATTTTCACTTTTTTGCCATGTTTCAGAGACAAAGGAAGTTAAAACAAGGACTAATGTTATTTCAATAAAGTTTGTTCAAAAATGTTTGTGACTAGGGGCACCTGGGTGGCTCAGTTGGTTAAGCGTTTGCCTTCAGCTCAGGTCGTGATCCCAGGGTCCTGGAATGGAGCCCTGCGTCGGGCTCCCTGCTCAGCAGGAAGTCTGCTTCTCCCTCTCCCACTCCCCCTGCTTGTGTTCCCTCTCTCGCTGTGTCTCTCTCTGTCCCAAATAAATAAAATTTTTTTTAAAAAAGTTTGTGACTATAAACAAAAATCAGAAGGCGACTTTTAAAGATCAAAACAGGAGTGCCTGTGTGGCTCAGTCAGTTAAGCTCTGCCTTCAGCTCAGGTCATGATCCCGGATCAAGTCTGGCATTGGGCTCCCTGCTCAGTGGGCGTCTGCTTCTCCCTCTGCCACCTACCCTCGCTCTCGCGTGCTCACTCTCTCATAAAAAAAATAAATAAAATCTTTTTAAAAATACATAAAGATCAAAAAAGGAAAGAATCAGAAAGTTTTAGTAGAACTATTTTAAGATTTCCACACATTTCTATTAATATAGAAATATAATTCAATTTTCGACAAATCACTTTTTTTCTGTAAGAGAATGAAGAGAAACAAAAGTAAAGAAAAAACTTAAAAATGCCTGATTTGCCTCAAAACCTCTCCCAAGCCAGGCCAAGGAGATATTAGAGAATCAGAGAAAAGAGCAACCCAAATGACTAACATCTATGAAAGGAATTTCCTCTCACACATTTTAAGGTATAAACATTCAGTTAAAATAGTATGTACTGCCAGGTGACACCACTGGGGGAGACAAATAGGATTAATGTATCACAGTGAGAAAGGAGCATTATTATTTATATACGTTAATTATATTTACCACCTCCCTGTATGGGAATTTAGACATGTAACTTTGTTAAGGAGGGGGAAGAAATTATCCCTTACAATTAAAGAAAAAACAAAACAAAAAAACAAGAAAAAAAAATTTTTAAAGACTCTTTGACAGAGAGAAAGGGAGTGCACAAGCAGGGGGAGCGGCAGGCAGAGGGAGAGGGAGAAGCAGGCTCCCCGCTGAGCAGAGAGCCGGAGGTTTGGTCCCAAGACCCTGGGATCATGACCTGAGCCAAAGGAGGATGCCCAACCGACTGAGCCACCCAGGCACCCCTGATTCTTTTTTTTAACATTTTATTTTTTTAAGTAATCTACACCCAACATAGTGCTCAGACCCACAACTCAGAGATCAACAGTCACACACTCCACCAACTGAGCCAACCAGGTGCCCCAAAAATGATTCTAAGCATAAGCCACAATTTACCAGTTTCCATTCAATGTCACTCATTTGACAGGACACTTTTTTTTAAAGATTTACTCATTTGACAGAGAGACAGCGAGAGAGGGAACACAAGCAGGGGGAGTGGGAGAGGGAGAAGCAGGCTTCCTGCGGAGCAGTGAGCCCGAATGCAGGGCTCGATCCCAGGACCCTGGGATCATGACCTGAGCCGAAGGCAGCCGCCTAACCGACTGAGCCACCCAGGGGCCCCAGGACAATTTTTTTCTTATACTTATCAAATGTTGGTTGTTATAAATAGAGGTTAATAGCTAAGAATGAAAGTTCTACAGCCATACTGCTTTGATCCAAATCTTGGCTCTACCACTTGCTGTATGTATATAGCATATATATGTATGTGTGTGTGTGTGTGTGTCTATATATGTGTATACATACACAGCACATATGACTTTGGGCATATAGTTACTCTCTGTGCTTCAGTTTCCTCATCTGTAATGCAAGGATAAAACAGTACCTCTCTTGGGGTGTCTGGGTGGCTCAGTTGGTTAAGCATCTGCCTTCAGCTCAGGTCATGATCTCAGGGTCCTGGGATCAAGCCCCACATCACAGCGCATTGCATTGCGTCGGGCTCCCTGCTCAGGGGGGAGTGTGCTTCTCCTCTCCTTCTGCCCGCCCCACTCTCTCTCTCTCTCTCTCTCAAATAAATAAATTAAACCTTTAAAAAAAAACAGTACCTCTCAAAATGCTGTTGTGAAGAGGAGATGAGGTAATATGGATAAGGTATTTGTAACATTGTCTGGCACATAGTAAGCATCTATTAAGTATTAACACCGACTGTCATCTACTTCTTAACATTCCAACACTCCTATCCCAACCTATCCAACCTTAAAGTAGCAAGAACTCACAAGAGTGAACAATATAGCTAAAGAACTGTTTCTTTATAATGTTTCCCTTTAACTGAAAATGCATATATGTAAATCTGCATTGTGGTGCTATAATTTCAGTAAAACATTTCTGATCTAAATAAAGCCTTGCTACTCAAAGTGATAAGGACCAGCAGGCACCGGCATTACCAGGGGGCTTGTGAGAAATGCAGGCCCCACTGCAGAGCTATGTAATCAGGTGTTTTAATCCCCAGGTGACTCCTGTGCAGATTAAAGGCTGGGATGAGAAGCACTGCTCTCAACAAGACCAAACACCTATAAAGTAATGTGAACATATAACAAACACAAATAAGATACTGTTGAGATAAATATAGGTTACAGAGCCAAACCAAACATATTCCTTTGTTACTAAAAAGGATTAGAACTGTAATAAAAAACAAAATCTACCAAAAAAGGTTTCCTTACCTAATGTTAAGGTATGTTAACATCTGGAGGTTTTTAATGGCTTCAGGAATGGTTTTGATGCAATTATGATATAAATTTAATGTCTCAAGAGGTGCAAATAACCAGACATCAGAAGGAATTTCTGTAAAACGATTTCTTGAAAGATCTGAAAAAGAAAAGTAATATTTGACTGCCAAACATATACCGTATCTATTATAATTAACAGAACTATTTTCATACTTCCTTAATCACTTAGCATCTAAGCAACTATTTAAAATATTATAAAATATTATAAAATATGGGGCACCTGGCAGGCTCAGTTGGTAGAGCACATGACTCCTGATCTCAGTATTATGAGTTCAAGCCCCATACATAAAATATTATAAAATATTGGGGCACCTGGGTGGCCCACCAGTTAAGCATCCAACTCTTGATTTCAGCTCAGGTCATGATCTCAGGGTCCTAAGATGGAGCCAGAGCCTGCTTGTCCTTCTCCCTCTGCTCTTTCTCTCTCTCAAATAAATAAAATCTTTTGCAAATATATATTATAAAATATTATCCAACATGATTGTGAAGGCAAAAAAATCATATAGAAATATACTCGTTTAGGGCACCTGGGTGGCTCAGTCGGTTAAGTGTCTACCTTCAGCTTAGGTCATGATCCCACATTGGGCTCCCTGTTCGGCGGAGAGTGTGCTCCTCCCTCTCCCTCTGCCCCTCCCCTGGCTTGTGCTCTCTCTCACTCACCCTGTCTCAAGTAAATAAATGAAACCTTAAAAAAAAAAAAAAAAAGAAATATACTCATTTAAACCTTGTTTATTAACAAATTGTACTTGATATGCTTCAATATCTTTAGAATTTATCTTTTAAAACACCAATGAGGAATTCACTCTGAGCTTTTCAAAAACACAAAAAATCCTCCCCAGGTCCCACATCTCCTTCTACCTCTTCCTCCTTCACAGCCAAACTTACATAAACCTACAACACAACTAAATTTCTTACTTACCATGCACTTCTCAACCCACTGTAACTGGGTTTCTATTCACTTTCATGCCCACCTAGGTCATCAACAGCCTCCATATCAATAACGACTCATCTACCTGGAAACATTTCCCTTCTCTTGGCTTGGGAGATGACACTTCTACATCACTTATTATCTCTCTGGCTACTTCTTGGTCTCTTGCTAGATTTTCCCCTACCTGTATTGTGAATGTCGACGTTCCTAAGAGCTGTGACAAGGTACCCTTTCCTTCTTAAGATATACACTTTAGTGGGTGATTTCATCCAATCCCAAGGTTAAATTATATTTATATACCAACAAATTTCAAATTAAAGCTATGTCTGAACACCTATGTTCTGATCTTCAGAACTTCTCTTGATATCTCTCAGGTACCTCAAATTCTACAAAATCTGTACAAATTCTCTAAAATCTGACTGAAGATCTTCCACTCATCTGTTTCTCTTATCTCAGATAATGTCACCAACATCCTCCTGTTGAACTGTGCAAGCCAAAAACCTGGTATTCATTCTCGATTCCTTCCTCCCCTATATTATTCCAAGTACACACACAAAATATACTCCCATTCCAGTTTTCACAAAAATAAAATCATGGAATTATTATTATAACCATTACACCTCTTTTAAAGGTTAAATGAAATTTTGAAAAATACTTAGGACAAGTATGTGGCAGGTTAAAAAAAAAAAATCCCCTAAAAGAGTTTCTTAACAAGCACTATTGACCTTTTGGGCTCTATGACAATTTGTTGTGTGGGGCTATCCTGGGTACTGTAGGATTTTAGCAGCATCCCTGGCATTTACCCACCAGATGCCATTAAAACCCTCTAATCATGGCAGCCAAAAAATGTTCCCTGGGGTTCAAACCCCCCTACAACCTGTTGGGAACCACCGCTACCTCATTATAGAAATATACTTTGCTAACATTAATTCATTATACTTATTTGGTTAAAAAATAAGAATATTATTTATCTCTGTCAGGAAGAACATCGATGGTGTACCTTAACCCACCATACATCATTCAGCATGTGTTCTGCCCTCATAAGAACAGCCTCCTACCAATGCTTAACTTCCTCACTCTGAGGAATGAGACCTATTTACTTAGCAATATAGTAAATTCCCTATTCAGAATGTTAATATACATGTATTAATATATGTTTGTGTGTGTGTGTATAAACACACACTCACCTAATGTAAAATTTTATAATAGGCAAAAGAAAACATTAGTTATGATTATTTGAGAATTAATTTGGATTCATCTTTCTACCACTGTAAGATTCTAAATGACTAAATAAAAGGACAGACAGAATTACTAGGAACCAAAATCTGAACTTGAAACAGAAGTTTCTCAATATCCTGGCTTACCTCCTCTGGACACCCAAGAATCATGCAGTTCTATTGAGGAGGAAAAATTAAATCATTATTTTTTTTAAGTTTAGGATGCTTCTTTTACATTTAGGGTTTTACCTCTTACTCTTGTAACTTCAGAATCCTAGGAGTTGAAAATTACTTGTTTACAATTAATCTGAAATCCTAAAATAAAAATTATGCCCAGTTCATTATTCTGTATAATATCTAGCATTATAGACCCATAAATAATACAGTGGTCCTAGGGACAGATGATGGTAGCTTAAATTAAGGTTGCAAGAATAAGGATAAGAAAATTAGAATTTGAAATATATTTTCATATTAGTACTTACAAAGATTGGGCAAGTGACTGTCTATGTGGGATAAGTAAGAGGCTATTTAATAAAAGAAAGGGGGGTAGAACAAGATTTTTGTTTTTGTTGCTGTTCCTGGTGGGAGTTTTATTTTGTTTTTTGAAGTAGAGGTTAGAATCAAAGATTCAATTTTCTATCTGTATAATGTGAGATATCTGAAAGAGAGCCAATGGAGGGATCAATCAGATGATTACAGATCTCAGACATGAGGTCTCGGATGGATATATAAAATTGAAAGTTGTGAGAATATGGTTAGTACTATAAAATCATAGAAATGGAAGAGATCACCTAACATCAGAGTACTGAGTTGGAAGGAGTTCAAGAATGGGCCATCATGACAGCCAATATTTACAAGCTGAGTCGAGGGGAAAAAAAGCAAGCAAAGAAGACTGAAAATAATGGCCAAGAGAAAACACAATAACCATATAAAGAGTGTTTAAGGGAAAAAAAAAAATCAAAATTACTATTTGTTCAGGTACAAGGTAAAAGAAATCATAATCTTATTCTTGATTTGATCAGCAGACAAGCTAATTGTTGGTGTGATGCATAACTGTAGCCCCAAACAGAAATAAAATGAGTGTACAATTTATTTCTTGACAATATAAAAAAAAGCCAAAATATCAGTATTAATAACAGTGATTTTAATAAAACAAATACTATGAACCCATTATTTTAGTAACTTACATATTATTGTGTGAGGCTTTATGTTCTTTCCCCTCTAAAAAAAGATTATTTAGTTAAATTACCAAGTAATATTATGAGGTCCCCCAGGGAATTTAATTAAATTTGCAATAATAAACTATTTTCTGGATGAGCTAATATATTTACTTAATAAACACCACTTAAAATTACAATTAATTACTATTCTAACTTAACTGAGTGAAATCAAATAAAGCATAATAAACTCAAAATTAAAACTCAAGCTATTATAAAGCCCTTAATTAAGGAAATCTTGTTCTAGGATTTTTCAAATTTTAAATCTGTATAAATATCCTTTCTAAGAATTGGGTAAACAGAATAACAGTGCCAAAAGAAAAATACAACCATGGAAAGAAAAATAGGGAATAATACAAAACATTCTGTATCTTAATTTCTTGAACTATCTCACACTGACAGCATCTCATATTTTCCTTCAAAAAAGTGAAAATTAACATCTATATAGATATAATGGATAAAATGTAAACTTTTAAATTTTTTATCTTGTGATGTACAATTAAACCAAAAAGGAATTTTTACATTAAAAATAATTTAATTAACATGTACACTAGGGCAACTAGAATAATAGGACTGGTAACGAACATATTATAACCAAGAAAAACATGCAAAATTGGTATTGTATTTAATATGGTTCCATCTAAAGAAGAGAAAACACACTGTTAATTTATTCCTTATGGCAACATTCATTTCACAACAGCCTTAAAGCCTGCCTTCTTTGGGGACAAGCAGGACTTGGGAAAAGACAATTATGAAGATGTTCCACCTTTCCCACACACACACACAAAGAGCAAATGAAAATTTGTTCCTTATCTTCCTGAAGTGAGTTGAATGGTGGCCCTCAAAGATATCAGGTCCTAATTCCTGTGAATGTTGGCTTATATGGTAAAATTGTGCAGATATAATTAAGAATCTTGTGTTGAGGAGATTATCCTGAATGACCCAGGTGGGCCCTACCTGCTATCGCACATATCCTTACAAGAGGAAGGCAGAGGGAGATTAGACAGACACACTGAGGAGAAGGTCATGGTGAAGATGGAGGACACACTGGAGTGTGATGCAGCCGAGAATGTCAGCAGTTGCCTGAAGCTGCAAGAGGCAAGGAAAGAATTCTCCCGTAGAGCCTCTGGAGGGCAAACAGTGCTGCTGAAACTTGATTTTAGCCCCATTAAGACTCGTTTCATAGTCTGGTCTCCAGAACTGTAAAAAAAAATAAACTTCTGTTGTTTTGAACCACCAAGTTTGTGGTAATTTGTTACAGCAGACACAGGAACCTAACACACTTCTCATAAAGACAGTTTATCAGAATCAATGAGAGAATGGCTGCAAAGTTTTTTAAATTAAAGAGCTGTATATTTTTTTTCTCTTAAGCAGTAAGGTTCTATCTCAGTTCATTAGTATCCTTGGCAATAAGCACCTTTATAACCACTGAATTATTTTTCTTTTGTCTTGCTTTAATCATAAATCCTATCAAGCAGTATTGGCAACAACTCAACAGCAGACAGACTGCTGTGTACTGTTTCCTGCCTTCCTTCAAAACTCTCCTTGTGAAACTGCTAGGAGGCTTTTAAAGATGTTAATAGATCATTTTAAATAATCTGATCTAAATTCCATTCTGTATCACTCTTGAGCTTCAGCGGTCAAGGAAGCTAGGGAAAGGAAGGAGGGGAGTCAGATGGAATGGAAATCTGTTTGCTGCCTCCCAAGCTGCAGCCCC